ACACTGAAATTATGCAATATAATATCATTGTTACATTGATTAATGATTTGCAAAATCATAAAAGGGACCCACTCCTTGGCCGGCTTGCCCAGCCTCCCCCCTTTTCTGGTTTCGTATTACAAAAACAGGCAACTCATCTGCAAAACGTCTTAATTATAACAAAACAAAATGCCAAGGCACATGAAATGTTGTCGCTTCAATTGTCATACGGCAGCATGGGAGTCGAGGCGGAAGTGCGAAATGTGAAGCGTCCATTATTATGCTAATTAATTGACATCAAAGAAAGCAACAAACAGGGTGAGGGAGAGGCTAAGGTTGGGCGGCATCTTTGTTGCTCAATGTTTCAAAATCAATGACAGCCGACAATAGATAACATCATGATTCAATGTAGTTGGCTATAGATAGGGCGCGAGGCAGACAGCTGTCTATATATATATATATATATGTGTGTGGGTGTATATAGATAGGAGTAGGTGGGTGGGTAGGTAGGAGGTACTTATATTATATATTATAAAGAGCTTGTAAGCCGATTTCAATGAAAATGCAAATTGAAGTGCGTTGCCAATTATTTTGTTATTTACGAGTATTTTTGCTTTTTATCATTGTTGCTGCTGCTGCTGCTGTTGTTGTTGTTGTCGTTGTTGTTGATCACAAAGGCATATAAAATGTAATATGATAATAATGAGCAGTCCGCTTCGCATAACAAAAGCCAAGCGCCAAAGTGCACAGACGCACCGAGGCAGATGGGGGCGACAGGGACGAGGTACGATTCTGTCACACAGGTAAAAATAGGGCAACGTTGCCGTGACAAGGCACAAAATAATGGGCTGTAATAGGATTTGCCATTGAATGGTGCCATGCGCTGAAACGGGAAACGGGCAACGAGCAAAGGGCAACGAGCAACGAGAAATGAGAAACGGAAGAGCCGCCAATAAATATGCAATGCCACTCAGTCAGCTCACGATGTGAATCCAATTATTTCCTTTGCAGGGTGCATCCTCCAGCCTGGTTGTCAAATACGCCGATACGGAGAAGGAGCGACAAATAAGACGCATGCAGCAAATGGCCGGTCATATGAACCTATTGAATCCGTTTGTCTTTAATCAATTTGGACCGTACGGCGCCTACGCGCAGGTAAGTAGCCTTGCCCCCCAACCACCACCCCAGAGCCACTTCAGTCAGCTTGATTGCAATCCTTTGTGCTTCATTAGCAACAACAGCAGGCGGCTCTGATGGCCGCTGCGGCCACAGCACCGGGCTCGGCGGCTGCCTACATGAATCCAATGGCCGCCCTGGCAACGCAAATACCTCATGGCCTCAATGGCACCGGCCAGCCGCCATCGCTGCCCTCGCCGACGATGCCCAACTTCAACATGGGCGCCAACACGCCCAATGGCCAGCCAGGAGGCGCTGCCGCCGCTGCTGCAGCTGCCTCGGTGGCAGACGGTGTCTTCACGAATGGCATTCCACAAACGGCATTTCCACGTAAGTAGTCCAGCCAAATTACAGGGTATTTTTCTATTCATCTAACGATCACTATTTATTGATATTCATATGAAGATCTAACACTCGCTCCAGATCCGCTGCATCTGACCATACCACCACAAGGTTTGCCAAATGGCGATGCTGCTGCACTGCAACATGCCTTCCCTGGTTTGCCACCATTTCCAGGAGTTGGTAAGTGCCCAAGCTCTAGCTAGTCTTAGACACACACACTCTCTCTCTCTATCTATCTATCTATATATATACCTTATGCATTAGGCTAAGAGAAATACGTATCTGATTGTGCCCAAAAGAAAATATTAATAATAGTTTAGTAAAAGTCCCATAGGCACAAAATGTCAATTTCATCATAAGTCCACACACTCCCACCCGATCCCCACTGCCCCAAGCCATTCTCTCTCTCTCTCACTCTCTGTCTCTCATGCATTATCATGTCAGTTTCTCTCATAAGAATCATATCACCATTGTCTTAAAAAAATGAAAATGAATACGAAAATAAAATGTAATTCAACAACAACAACAGACAGAATAAACAGTTCAATCATTCATAATTGTTTTTATTGAAATAATTAATAATTGTTGTGTCATGCCATAAATATATATATATATTGTTAGTAAAGTGTTATATATAACTCTAACTTCTATATATACATAAATATTTGATTTGTGTACTAAAGGAATACAGAATTTAATTCAAGCTTAGCTGCTCACTATTAACAGCGCTCTTCTATGCGCTTCTCACGATCAACTACCAACCAACTATTTAGCTAGCTACGCTTGAATCAAAATCTGTGTTTCTTTGATTTGCCTTTTATGTTGAAAACTTGTTCTCCTAGTTTTTAATTATATGTTCAATATATTCAGATCCAAAATTTGTTGTTCAATGTTAAACGTTTAACATTTTAACACGAACTGAAATTCGTTTATTATGTTTTATTTATTTATTAAAAAATTTCTATGCGAACTTTGAAGTTCTTATTGACAGAAGGACTTCCCTCTAGAAAACCAGTTGCCCACTTTGGCTGGTATATCTTAACTTTCCGATGTTGTTTCTGATTGAAATATATAACTAAGTATTCTACTGGTCTGATCTGGTCGTAGCCTGTCGTCTATGGTTATTATTATTTCCTGTTTTGTTCATCTCAATATAGTCAAGGTGAAAAACCAACAAGAGAACTTACTTATTTAACATAAAAAAAAAATCATATATATACGTATACTTAATTGTTGTGTTGTCTTTATAAATGTTTCGGATTTTGTGTAAAAACCAAAAACAAAAATTATTTATATATAACGCAGCCTTTCCCGCCGTCTATGGACAGTTTCCACAAGCTTTACCACCTCCCCTAGCGGCGGTTGCACCCACTCAGCGTGAAGGTAAGCTTTTCATTATTATTTTGTCGGTTGTTCTCTCTCTCTCTCTCTCTCTCTCTGCCTGTCTCTCTCTCTCTCTCTCTTTTGTTTCCTTCCAAGAACTGTTCCTTAATTTCTTTACTGTAAATCAATATTGTATTTGTTTTTTGTTGATGAGTGATATGACGAACAGCTCATGCGAAGAGCTTTCAACTTTATAAATGAATGTTTTTACTTATATAGATATATATATAAATATATATACTATTCATTCAGATAACCACGCACACACACACACTTGCGCACGCCTACACATAGAAATTGAACCGAAAAGCCCAAAAAAATTAATTACTTAGACTCCTCTTTTTCTTTGTATCAATTTCTGTATACGAAAAACCCTTTTGCAAAAGGGCGTAAATCGTTTTTAATGCCTGCATTTAAGGGCATTTTATGGGCGATCGTAAAAATTGCATATAAACTGCTTAAAATCACATAAAAAGCAAGATATTTGCCGGGAAGGCACATGAAAAATCATAAAATTTTATGTTCGCTTTGTTTTTTATATATTTTCTTTTTGTTTCCAGTTGGGAAACTATGTAAACGTTGACGAGACAAGATAAAAGCATAGCTATTATACAGATATATATAATATATATATATACTCTTCTCTCTCCCTCTCTATGTGTGTGTGTGTGTGCGTGTGTTTTAAATTCTTATATGTATTATATACTGTATCTAACCCTAAGCCTAACTTGTGCGTAACGTGTTTATTATTTTCTCTCTATATATTTGTTGCGCGTAGCTAATTGTTAATTGTATTTTTCAATACATTTACTTAGTACTTAACCTGCATGCCACACACACACGCACACCCACACACACACATAGACTCACATGAAACTCAGCGCTGCTGAACTCATATGACATCCCTGTACCAGGAAATGCGAAAGTCGGGACGATATATCATAAGCTTAATACTTAAGTATATATTATTGCCATAGAACTAGAGAACTGGTAGCTCATTAAGCATTTTTAGCATATACGACTATGTCTTATATACCATATACATATATATATATATATATATATATATATATATACTTTAGCCTATGCAAGCGATTTTGTTACTGTTCGTTTAGTTTTTTCCGTTTCCCCCTTTTTATATATATATATATATATCGAGTATATTTTCTACTTCATTGTTTGTCATTTAGTTCATTCGAGTTTTATGCAACGCATTAGCTTTAGTTGAATCGTCTACAAAATCAGCCACAAAACACGAAACACACAGAGCAAAAACAACGAATCTATATATATATATATATTTGAAGAGAAACTCAAGAACAGCCCAAAAAAAATCTATACAGCAAGCAGACAAATTCATAAAGTTCGAATTTATGATTTAGCTCATCGTTTAATTTGTTTTCTCTACTTTGTTTCTTTTCTTGTGATGTCTTCTTTTAAGATTTTCTGATGTTCCCAGGATGTTCTATATCCGGCCCGGAGGGCTGCAATCTATTCATCTATCATTTGCCCCAAGAATTTGGTGATGCTGAATTAATGCAAATGTTCCTGCCATTTGGCAATGTGATCAGCTCTAAGGTCTTCATCGATCGTGCAACAAACCAAAGCAAATGTTTCGGTAAATCCCAAAGACACTGCAAGCAATGCTAATCGTTTGTATTGATCTCTAATATATAACTTTTTGGCCATTTTGTAGGTTTTGTTTCATTTGATAATCCCACCAGCGCTCAAGCGGCCATTCAGGCCATGAATGGCTTCCAGATTGGCATGAAAAGACTGAAAGTTCAATTGAAGCGGCCAAAGGATGCCAGTCGACCTTATTAACAATCGGAGTTCCTCAAGCGTAACTTACATCAACAACAACAACAAACGATTCAACAACAACAACACATACAACAACAACAACAACAAATACAACAACAACAAATACAACAGCAACATCAAATACAACAACAACAAATACAGCTACAGCTACTGCACCAGCAACAGCAGCAGCAGCAACAACATCTGCAGCAGCAGCACCACCAGCAACAGCAGCAGCAGCAACAGCAACAACAGCAGCTATATCAACAACATCATCACCAGCATCAGCATCAGCATCAGCATCAGCATCAACATCAGCATCATCAATATAATGCAGCAACAGCAACACCAGCTACAGCAACAATAACAACATCGCCAAACAATCCCAACAACAATTTTCGACCACAGTTAGCAAACGATCGCAATGCAAATCGTAACACAATGCCCTATACATTTGCTAGCTGGCGCAATGGCACTTATTGTTATCGCTATAGTGCCAACGGCAGCAACAGCGCCAGCAATACCAACAACAACAACAATAGCAGCAGCAATAACAATAATAGCAACATCAACAACAACAATAACAACAACAACAACAACAATAGCAGCGAGAACATTCCCTGCGCTCATGACACAAGTAACTATTCCAAAGTCGAGCTCGTCGAGAAGCTGTTCTTGTGGCAGCAACAAAAGCGAAAAGCCTAGCAGCAACAGCAACAAGAGGAGCAACAGTAACACGAACCACAGCAACAACATGGATCAACTTTTTATTAGGGTGAGCTGAAAATCAGCATGAATCATACAATTATTTGATTTTAAACTAATATCTAATTTAAATTATTATTTATATTTGATCGCCTTTCATTAATAGTTAATAATTATTTACACTGAAAGCTGAACTTCCGCGGTGCCCTCTAAACTGCATTAGTCGTGTTCTCAGCGTACACTGAAATCATAACGACTCTGTCCGAAGCTGCTAAGTAGCCATCTCGCTCTCACTCACTCTCAACCTCGATTGAGCCTTTCAGCAGTAGCGTAACATACTGAGTCTGTTGACAGTGAGCAACAACTATCTTCGTCTCGCTCTCTCGCTCTCTTTCAGAGTGAGCGGAGACCAGCCAGAAATTAGAAGCGTACTGCTCACTAGCCAATCTGCTCTCACTAATACAACTGCACAGTGGGCAATCACGACAAAACTGAACAGAATTAGCGCACTCAGAGTCGAAGAGAGAAAACAAGAGCTACTATTCATTTATGTTAATATTTAATTATCGTAGGAATGCGACATAATTTCAATTTGTTTCTTCCATTTAATTAGATATATATTATATCAACGACATTTGCCTTTTTTATCATTCATTATGAATGCTTCAATCATAGTTCATTGAACAAACGAAAGTTTCATATCTTACAAATGCTTAGATTTATGTTTCTATATAATTTTCCATCCATCTTCCATTTGACCTTAACTAACAATCGCATAATTATTTTGTTTAATTAATTTAAAAACCACTTTAATGAGTGTTCAATCATGTTAAATCTAGCTTGAACTGATTTCTTTCTATTACCCATTTCAGATGGACTTGAAACAATGAATTTTGCAGATGCTAAGTGCAGCAAAGCCGCAGCAAACAAAAGAAACAAAGTTAAAAAGAGAAAAAACTAAGAAAATAGTAAAAAGAAAATGTAAAAAAAAGTCAAAGCAGAATACTAAATATATATACATATAACGATATTTGTGTATATATATGTATACTATATATATATAGATATATGCATATGTATTTATACAGGCAGCTGAAAGCAGAACTTAAACAAAATAAATAGAAAAACGAAAAAAAATTAAGAGAAAAAACAAAAAAAAAATACTAAAAAAAAAACAAAACAAATGCAACACACAACAATTTTTTGCCAAAATGACGAATATATGTATACATATGTACATAGATATATATATCGACATACATATATATATATATTTATAGAGCAAGCAACAAGCATTGATATTGATAGTTGAGCAAACAACAACTGCACACACACACATACACACACACATACACACACACCACTTGAGACAAAAACTGACTGGTAAGAGACCAAAATTATCTGGGTTTTCAATAAAAAAAATGAAATTTAATAATAATCTAATAAATGAAAAAACCAAAAAAAAATGCAGTAACCATTTTTTATACACAATATAAAACATGGAATTTATTAAAATATAAAAAAAATAAAACACGCTGCAAAAAAAAATTACACACAAATCAACACGTGAGAAGAGTAAAAAATAAAAAACCCACAAAAAACTGAAACTGTTAATTGAAGGAGTAAAAGGAAAACATATGCAAACGAGTTGAAGAAGCTTAAAAGAAGTTATGAGACGTTATGGATAGAGCGTAGTCGGATGATATAGAACGATTGATGGATTGATTGATTGATATGTAGCTCTGCAACTTTTTAGCATTTAGTACTAAGTAAATTGGCGATGGATATATAAATATATATATATATATATATATATAGATATATATATACATAAACCTATATATGCAAATAAAAATTAACACAAAAATTCGAATTTAATTAATTGTAAGATGATAAAAAGAAATAACTTAGCACTAGGTGAAAGCAGCATGCAAATTAAAAATATAATGTATATATATGCATATATATATATGTATCTATATGTATATGTATATGTATATATAAATATATGTATATGCGATATGCTTTTGAGAGAAATACACTTAAGTCCAACAACTTAAAGAGAACCACAAAAGGTTTTTGCGCGTAGCCTGCAAGAAACAAATCGAAAACAAATATCATTTTTTATAATATGTAAATGAAAAACTTAAAGAAAACGCAAGTAAATAAATAATTTAATTATACTAATAAATTTGTTAGAAATGCATATTTAAAAAAACCTTAAAACAACGCGAGTTGGCAAAAATTAAATTCATTTTACATGGAAAACACTTTTGAGTTAGGCAAAAGGCAACTAGGAAAATCGTAAACGATTTTATAGCATCAAAAAAAAAAGTTATATATATATATGAATATATATATATATATATATATATATATATATATATATATATATATAAATAATGAAAAATTAAATCAAAGAAAACTTTACACTTAAACTTAGCTGCTTGCAACAAAAACAAAAAACAAATACAGGTACTTACAAATATATATATATATATATATATATATGTGTATATATATATATTTATATGAGCAAAAGGTATAAGCTACAAACAAAAAAGTTGCCAGGATACAGATATGTATATATATAAATGTATATATATGTATACATATGTATAAAGCATATACATTTCTATATGTCATCAACTGAACATTTTGGCCACTTATTTTCACCAACTCCAATAGAAACAAAAAGCAACTAACAAGAATGATGTTGACCATATAACACTCCCTTAGCCCTGTTTAGAGAAAACAGCAAAAATTTACACTTATTATATAAAAAAAAAAAACAAAAAACACATAAATCTTAAATGCATAAATTATTATTGATGAACATATATATGTATATATATATATATATATATATATATATATATATATTTATATATATATATATATATATATATATATTTAGCATTTTTTTATATATACAAGTAAAAAAGATTTTTAGCGAAACTAGAAAATTGAACACTGAAAACTTTTTATATTTCAATTTATATATTTTTGCTTTTTATTTAACACACACACATTAATCTTATTTAATATATATATATAAATACAATTACTCAACTAAAACTCTGTTGAAACATCATTACACAACATTTTGACATTATCTTGAGCAAGAAGAAGAAGAAGCAGAAGATGTTATATGTCTGTACAAAGGAAAGATTGTCAAATCTACAGCTAAATATGCCAAAAAAAAAGTTGAAAAAAAAATATGAAGAGAGAAAACAAATAATTAATTGATTAACAATTATTTAGAATTTGTATAGTGTAAAAGAGAGAAGAAGAAGAAGAGAGAAGAAAATAAAATTGAATACGTTTAGCGCCTAGTCTGCGGGCTTGGAACAAAAGCTCGCGACACACATATTTGATACTAATGATAAAAAATAACAAATAAAAAAATCACAATTAATTATTAAATAATAAATATATATATATTAAAGTATATAAGAATATTTAAGCATACAACAAATTGTTATAAAAGTTAAAGTTACTTTTGTTACCAGTGCAATATAATTTGTTTAACTCTTCAGTTTCCCACACACTCACACACACACACACATACACACTCACACACAGCCAGACAAAGAGGAAATATAATCAAAAGCAAATGTCAACATGGCCAGAAATCATGAGTTGGAACAGTATTACGTAGTTAGTTAGTTCCAGTCCAAAAGAAAACTCTTTTTGTCTCAAAACCTAAGTAAGTTTCCTTGACTCAGTTTTTCTTTATGACATGTTAAATGCCCAAAAATCTTGTAAATATAAACGAAACTCGAAGGCGGATGAAAGTCCCCCCTAACTGCAAAAGAGCAAGAAAGCAACAAGGATTAGATGCAACAAAAACCAAAAACAAATACTTAATTATAACTATATAAATACATGCATACATACATACATACATACTTAAATTTAAATGCATCATTAATTGATTTTTAGCAACTATTCTGTAGTTAAACAACAGTCCCCCTCCCCCTTAATTATTACTGCTTCAAAATGCTAATCTAGATTTTTACTAGAGCAACAGACAACACACACTCACTCACACACACACACTCTCACTATATATATGTATTTACGATCTTGTATGAATCGATCTAGTCAAATTCAAGTTAATTATTGCATAAAAAAAAACAAAAAAAAACACTAAACTGAAAATAAGAAAATAAAAACCAACTTGAAACAGAGTCAAACTATTGAGATAATAATAAAATAATAAAAACTATTATTATTATTATTATTATTATTATTATTAATTATGAATTATGTATTATGATCATGCATTATGATTTTGTATTGAAAATACGCGAACAAAAGTATTTAAACTAAATATATATATATACTTATATATATATATATATATATAAATAATATTATTATTATTATTCTATGCTATTATACAAAAATGAAAACGTTTTAGACTATATACACAATATTTAAATAAAAATAAAATAAAATATTAACAACTTAGTGCAAAAAAACTGATTTTGGCAAAATTATGCAAATTATACTATATCAAAAAAGAAAGAACACAAAACCTAAATTATCAAACATATTATTATTATTTCTAATACGTAAAAGAACAGTAAACTAAAGAAGAAAAAGCAGATGAACAAATAAAAGCGATCAACAAATTGAGAAAAATACCAAAAAAAAAAAACAAAAAAAAAAGAAAACTTGTTTCATTTTCCTTTTTCCATTATTTTTCAAGTGTGATGACGTTGATGTGGCTTGTGAATTGGCAGACGGAAAGAGCTTTGACGGACGGACGGACCCATGGACAGACAATTTGGCACATTCTATATACCCATATCACTTTCTCTATGTATCCAAAATTTAATTATGATTTCGTTCGCAATTTCTAAACTTCAAAACAAAAACCAAAAAAAAACACAAAAGGGCTGTGACTTGAAAAAATAAAATAAAAAAACAAAAGAAAAACTAAAAATCAAATTGTTTGCATTTTTGTTTAAGTTATTATTTTTTAGATCAGCTTAAAAATGTATTTTTTAGTTTTCAAAAGCGGTGATACGAAGCAACCAAGAAGCCAAATCAAAATTAATGCAAAGATACATAAAAAACATATGAAAAAACTAAAAAATAAAAAAAGTAATCAATAAAGAAAGATAAATAATTAATGCTTAAATATTGAGCGCTTATTTTAAATTCGAAATGAAATGTGATGAAAATAAAAACAGAAAAAAAAGTTAAATAAAAATAAATCGAATTGAAATTAATGAAGAAAGAGAAAGGAAAGAGAAAAGAAAAACAAATGTACCTTGAGCATAAAGCGTAAAAATTGGAATAATACAGAAACCAAAGAAAAGAGAACACTAAAACAAAAACTTAAAACAATGAAATGCTAGGCAAAACCCTATAGGAAGATGCGCCCGGTTTCGTCCAATTTGTTGTAATGAAGGCAGCCACGAGAGTTCACATAAGATTGGCAGTTGCATTTGCAAATTTTGCCAAAATACAGTTTACTGCTCAATTTTCCAAAATCATTTTGTTCGATTCAAAATCAGAAGTGGAAGAAGAAAGACAATTTCTAGTGCGTTCCAACACATTATATACTTAATATACAAAGCACATCATATCAAGCAAAAGAGAGCGCGAATATCGTAGATCTTTGACTGCACCTTGTTTGTCACAGCATGCGCTCTTCTAGGCGATTCTCATTGGAGAGCAGACAGACATAAAGCTCTCTAAACACAATTATCATTGTTTTCTTGATTCTGATTTTGCTTATTTCACTCTAATTTATTCAAACAAAAACCGAAAATTAGTCTTAAGATTAAGCATTGTATATTTAACTAAAAGAAAATGAAGTCTCTTATCGATGATCGTTCCTTAAACTTAAATCATAAGATTTACCATAACAATACTTACTTATATATATATATATACGATATACGATATATATATATATATGTATAACATTTAGTGCTATACGAAAATAGTATTTTTATTATGAGATGGGCATTCTTATAGAATGTTTTAATTATTATTTTATAGAAATCAACTAACTAACTAACTAACTAACTTATTAATTAATTACTCTATTGCTAGTTAATGACAAAGGCTAGACAATGTAGTGAATGAAGCTTACAACACTTATACAACAACAACAAACAAACAAACAAACAACAAGAAGAACAACCAAAAAAATAAACACATGAGTCCAAGTTTAGAACTTAATAATCAAAAATATATTTAGATACACTTTTCTGCAGGTATTTAACTAAAATTAAATGAGAAATTATACTAAAAATAATAACAAAACAACTATAGAGCTATAGACCTCTAGAACTATAGAGCAAGGCACATTCAACATTGACCCCACCATAAACCAAGGACTACTAAATTTCATACACTAGTTTTTTATACACACACAGACCTACGCGCACACACACAGACACACACAAACGCACACACACACATAGTTAAACGGGCCCAAGTTCATAATGGAGGGTGCATATCGTTTTTGCTAGGCCTAGAACATTTTTGCCTTGATAGCATTTGGGTTTTTGTTGAAATCGAAACACGAATAACTTATAGGAAACAGGGTAAACGATGCAATTAACAATTATAATACTTAAACTAATACCAATACCAATACCAATACCAATAATAATGAGCCTAATATATAATCTTCTGTTATAGTTCTTGCCCCATTCTAGCTTCTGCACTAAGTACGTTTATTTGAAACATTTTCAAGCTTTGCATACGACTAGAATTTGCATTGATATATGAATATATATATATATATAGTTATAGTATATAATTACATCTAGAGCAGGACATGGGCATATTTCGGGACAAAAGTGCAGTAGTATTCTATATATATATGTATATATATATTGAAAGTATATATGAAAACACAAACAGCAACAATAATTGGCGGCGCTTGTAAGGAAGCTCAGAAAGTGCATTTAATAAATATTGAATAAATATATAAATGAAAACGAAAACGAACAAGTTTTTAACAAAAAAATATATATATATATATATATATATAATTATAAATTGCAAAAATAGGCAATATATACACATGTATATATGTGTATGTATTATACTATTATTATGACAATTATTATTATTAAAATAAAGCGAAACGAAAGTGCGAAAAGCAAAAGGGAAACCAAACTTTGGCAATTATACAAAAGGAAGCAGCTGAAGGAAAATGGAATGTGGAAAGTGGAAAAGGCCCGCGGTTATTTTTTGTAGATAAAAATGTTATCTTTTAGAAACTTAGCCAAATATTAGATACTAATACAGATGCAAAGCCACTCGAGCGGCACTTGAGGCTAAGTGTAAAACCAAAACAAAAACAAAACGATCAAAGCGAATTTATATTGTAAATAGGTAAAAGACACAGAGCCCAATGCTAATTAATAATTGCAAATTATATAAATTATTTAATGATAGTTGCTAGTCTAGAATTTAGCACACACACACACTCACACACTCACATACACACACACACGCACACACACTTTGAGTAAAGATTCTGTTGCGTTTGATACCCTATAAAGCAGCTTATTCTAGTACACAAAAACTTTACTTTCCGTTTAGAAATCCGTCCGTAATTAGCATTATGCACTAGCACACACATACACACACACATGCACATCTCAGCAAACTGATTTGCATTTGAAAAGAAAACAAGTTTATAGCAAAAATACTCGGAAGATTGCAGTCAGAAGCGCAGTCTAGCTGCTGCTGCTGAAAATCTTCTAGTTATGCGCTGCACAAACACACATTTATTTAGCACACACACACACAGAAACACACACATATATACGATTTTGAAACAGCTGATAAGTTATTATTTGGAATGTTTGAAGAGCACCTTTAACGAAAACAATAAAGAAATAAATAAATTAGCAGCAAAGCAAAGCAAATGCAGTTAAATGCCATATAAAAATATAAGAGAAAAACACATAAAAGTAAAAGAGACGAAACAAAAAACGAATTGTAGCTAAACATGTAAATTTAGCAAATGTTTCATTTCAACAACAATTTCGATTCTTTCCGCAGTTATGAATAAATCAATGCTTGCTCTGAACTTATTTCCAAACAGAAATTAAATAAGAAACAGAATTAAATGTTAAATGTAAAATGGTTTCAGAATCAAAAAATAATATAAATGTGTAGTAATAAAAGGGAGAAAAACAAAACATTTACATCAAAGTTCAAATCTTTTCATACCATTCGATGCAAGCTTTTTCTCAGATATCTAAAGCACAATTTGAATAATATTGAAATATGTTTTGTTCTCAAGATTCCTAATTTGAGATGAATTCAATTCGATTCTTAAGGCACAGCAAATAAAGGAATACACACTCACAGCACACCAACACACTAACACACACACACACATACGTGTACTTACTTATATTACAAAAAAGTTTATATTTATACATACATACATACATAATACAGGCATATACATACATATAAAGCGAATGGAGCAGGAAAACTAATAGGCAATGTAGTTGAAAAGGCAAGGAAAACAAAAACAAAAACCATTTAACATAGCAAAGAAGAAAGGTCTTTATATATATATATATATACTATACATATGTGTATATTAAATACTATTTATAAATAATAACAACTCAATGGCGAAGTGTGTAAAAATTGTGCATTCGTTCATGGGGAAAAAAACAAAAGGATGAAAGTAAACACCGAAAAAAACAAACATTACAAAGACATATATCTATAAATATATATATATATGTATATGTATATGTATATATTTATATTTATATTCAATTTAATGATTGAAGCCCAAAACACATTTATGAAATGCTATCAAATCAACTATTAATTAATTAATTATGAAAGCAACCAAATTACAAGAAAAAAAAACATACAAACTATGCAAATATTTTAATACTTAACAGGCGTAAAGAGCAAAGCAAGAGAGGGAAGAAAACCATTAAGCAACTCTAGTTTAAACAACAATAATTATTAATAATTTATGCCATACAAGAAACATACATAAATAAACCTAAACATATATATTTATAAGTAACTATATTAACAAAAGTAAAAGTAAACATAAAACACAATAACAATTAGAAGAACGAAACAGCAAAACTACAAACAAAACATTATTTGCGCCTATTTCTCATGTTGTTGTTTTATATACTTTCTATATGCAGATATATATATGTATATATATATTTATATATATATTATTTAATTTCGATAACACAGTTTACGAAAGACAGCAAAGCGCAGCAGAAGCTAACAATAATATAAAGCAAAATTAAAGAGAAAAATAATAAAAAATTAAATATACATAAAATAATTATCAAAAAAGTTTTAGGCTAAATTTTGACAGTTTTAAAAGAAAAACAAAGAAAAAACAAAAAACAACGGCAAACATATAAACCTTGTTTTTGTTTGGCCAAAACTCTGGGCGTCGTATATGGGCGACATAGTAGGAGAGTCATATATTATTATGGTACAGGTAGCAGAGCGGCAAAGCGTGGAAAATTGCTAATTGAAAAATGAAAATATGGAGCAAAGGAAGAAGAATTATAAATGAACAAGTAAACAAGTTATAATTACAACAATTAAATTATTATTAATAAATAATTATTATACATGACAACTTATGCAAATGTAATAAGTGAAAACAAAAATTAAATATATATATATATTAAATAAAAAACTGGCAAGTTTAATATGAAAAAAAATATTAAGAAAGAAAAAAACAAAATGGTAAAATTACAAAAATGCAGAAAAATATATATTATATATACTTTATAGACATTTAAACATGAAAACAAAATGCAAAGAACAAACTAAAAAATAAAGTTACAAATAATAAACTTTTACCATAAAAAACGGATTTTTCTTATTTGAATTTGGCGGGTTTCAGACTTTTGCACACATCTGGCATCTCTTTAATGCCAAGCATGAGTAAACAACATGCACAGGTCTGGCAGCACCATTTGCATAGTTGCCAGGCAGCGAATCACCCTGTGCTTCAGTAAATAACGGGGTTTTGAGTACAAGCAAAACGTTTGCAATTTAAAATTTCTCTTATTAAATATTAATAAATTAATAAATACAATATTAATAATGACTGACCAACTAGACCAATTGGCAGCCGCGGAGCTGCAGCGTTTACAGCGCCAGCATCGTTCGCTACAGCTAGATCTGCGAGGGCTGCTTGAAGAGAAAGCGAAACGCCTGAAAAAGCAAAATCACATGATTAACGTACTGCAAGTGGAAAACGAAAAGCTAAAGGATGAAATCAAAACCTTGGAGGGCGGCACTCATGCTCGCCGAAATACCAATAAAGAGAAACAATTAAGCAATCTGCAAGATCAGCAATCAGAGCTGCAGCGCGTCTACCAAACGGAACGCACGAATCTGTGGGAGTTGGAGGGGCACATACGTAAAATGGAAAAAGAAATTGATGCACTGCGTCGCAACGAAGTGCCCGATAACTGCTACAAGGACACCATTTGCAAAGTCCAAAAGAGCGTGGTGAAACTGGAAAATCGCCTCGACGTGGTCAACAAAAAGTGCAGCGATGTCCTAACGGAGAATGGCAAGATGAGAGATGCCATCAATCATATGCTTCAGGATCGGTGAGTGTGAAGACACTAAATCTTCAACAAGCATAAACTTATCGAAAAATAGCATCTATACCAAAAGATATACGACTTTTATCAAACTTAAGCTAAGCTCATTATCCACAATCCAAAATTTAGTGCAAATTTCAACGAGATGTGGCAAGCGATGGTGACACAGTTTAACGATGGCAAAAAGCTGATAATGGACCTCATTGATCAATCAACTATGGCCTTCGATCAGCGCCAGGAGCTGTGCACGAAGCTCTCAGTTCTCAAGGATCGCAATGAGAATGACAAAGTCATGCACATCCAGGAGATGCGAGAGATGCAGCGTCGTTTGGAGCACGATGCTAAGCTGCAAAAGTTCTTCGACATCAAGGGTCAGAAACGGCTCAACCCGGAGCTAGAGCAACGGGAGCTAGACAAAAAACAAAGCCAAAAGGAAAACTATGAGCGACAACTATTCGAATACAAAGAGATCATAGAGAGAATCAAGCAACTCTATGGCGAGGATGACCCAGAACGTCTGGTGGCTCAGTTCAAGCGCCAGGAAGACGAAAACTTTGCGCTCTTTAATTATGTGAACGAGCTGAGTCACGAAGTGGAGGTGCTCAATGATACCACACAGGAGTTAACCGAAGAGATTGGTAGGCTAAGAGCTTGCATATATAGAGTTAAATAAAGAATCTTAATGGTGTTACTTATAGAGCGTCAGAAATCGGAGCAAACAGAGAAGGAACTGAAGCTCAAGACTGAGGCCTTGGACTATTTGAATGAGGAACTGGCGCGCATAGAGCAGCTGGCCAAGGAGACGGGCGAAAAGAAACAGAATCTCAGCAACAGATTGCAGCAGCTGCTCAAGGGTATAGAGGATATATTCAAGTGGGTTTATTTCAGATCTATATGTAGAAAAATTGTATATACTGGAAATCTACTTTCTTTTATAATCCCATCAGATTGCTGGCTTGCGATGATGCCCCTATATTAAATGTGCTTAGCTCAAAGACCTTCCTCACCGTGCACAATGTGAAGCTATTTATAGGCGTCATTGAGCGTCGTGTGAATATCATTATAAGCACAATCAACATTGAGGATAACTCAAATAGGATCTTGGCCAGGAAGGATCGTGTGCCGAAATTCAATATACGCGAATCGGCTAAAATGAAACATTAGTTGAGGTCTTGAAAAGGAAAACGCCATATACTATTTATTTTATTTAACTTGTAAAGTAATGCACATAATTTATATATATATATATATATATATATATACATATATATATATATATATATATATATATATATATTTATACCTATATATATATATTTATATCAGAACAATTGTGACTAATCTCATGTACTATATGCTTAAGTTTATTGCATTGAACATAAGTCCTTAAATCAAATAAATATAAGTTAATATTGCGGCTCGCGTTGAGCAATTGCTATTCAAAATTTAAAACTAAAAACAATATGAACTTCATATATATATATATATATATTTATTTATACATATATGAAGTATGAAGTATATATATATATACATATATATGTATTCATAAAAAAAATATATAAACTTAAAGCTTCGGATTGCAATGTCCGTTAGGCAAATACTCTGTAAAAATGATTGGCAATTAATAATTGTAAAGTTCAACAAGTCATTCAAATATACTTAAAGTTACATTATGAAATATTGTGTTTGTGTTTCAATATTCTTTTAACAGGCTTCATTTTAAATATCAACAAAAATATAGAGATATATATGTATGGACTATAGTTAAAAGTGGCCAATAGCCATTATAGATTTAGATTCCACATACACGCGCCTACAATCTTAACTCGAATGTTACGGCTCATATGCAACCAAATCGCTGGCCAGAATTGTTGGCACGGGCGTTATCAAATCGCGACTTTCGCCGTTGAGCAAATAGACAGGTACATTACTGGACGCCACTTCGATCTCGTGTGCGGCTATTACACTGCTCGACTCCAACTCGGGACTGGGCGTGCGCACTTGCATAACAATGGGCTTTATCAGTGCGTCTTCCTCACTGCATGACTCCCCATTGTTAGCCAATGTTACGTAGGCGGCAATGCAGTCTGGCACAGGTGACGAGGAAACAACAGGAGCGGGCGAAGAGACAGAAACATCAGGAACAGAAGTAGCAACAGGAGTAGCATTAGAATCAGTGGGAGTATCAATATCAGCAATATCAGCAGTGGGAGCTGGACTTTCAGCTTCACTTAAAATCTCCTGCTGAGTCAGTTTTTTCTTTTTATTAACGTTCTTTATCCTTGACCAGCAATGTTGCTTTCGACGACGCCGTTTGGCTAGCCTTGGCTGCTTGGTCTGATCGAATTCCTCCTGAAAGAAGAAGCAGATGAGTAGAGTAAAAGTAAATGTTGTCATGCTATTAAGAACACCTACGTTAATACTGTACTCAGTGTTGCAGCGTGACGTTTCCCAGTCTTCAATATGGACACGCTTCAGTCTTACAACAGGCATTAACATCGCTGTACTCGTTGTTGTTGCTGCCGTCTTTGCTCTCGCCTGCACCGCAAAGTTCTTAATGATCTCAACATCGCTCTCCAGCTTCGCGATTTCATTGCGTAGCTTCATATTTGATGCATACAATCGTTTGCTAAGCGTAAGTTTTGACTCTGATTGCGATTTGATTGCCACATTCGATTGCCGCTTCTCGTTCATCCTTCTGCGTTGAAGCTTTAGTAGACTATTATAGAAATCCACGTGCTCCATGGAACTGTCAGAGAACTTGCGACGGTCAAATTTATACTTTCTGGCCAATGCCTGCACCTCAACATCAATGGAGTTCAATACCCTATCAGTCGCCTTTCGATGACGACACGTCTCAATGGAACTGTGCGTGGAGGCGGGTGGCGTGGGCAATGAACGTTGTGAACCTCGAGGTGGCTGCCTCTTCGGTTGCGGTGTTGGTGTACCACTGGATGCATTGCTGGTCGTGGGCGTTAGCTGACTTGAGGGCGTGGGCGTGATAGTGGCTGGCAAACGTGACTGCTGATCTCGGCGGTCACGTCGGTTGCAGGAAGACACCGATTCAGTAGTCCGTTTATCACAGTTTTTCTTCGATTCCAGTTTGCTAAACATGCGCTGGCTAGCAAGTAAGTGTTCTAAAATTATGGAAATTAAAGCTTTCTTCAATATAAATAACAAGCATAAAGTGTTACCTTTCCGTCCCATCCACTTTAGAGATTCAATAAAGTTCATATTTGAACTGGGTTTTGTCAGCGGCGTTAGTAATGTATTACTTAGATTTTTATAACGCTTAATTGACGGCTTAATGGTTTTAAGCGATTTGTTTAACTGGGCTTTACTCGAGGCTCCCAAATGTTGTGTACTAAACGTGACCTGTTTCTTGTGCAACGAGGCCTCGCTACTATGACTATTACGACTAGATGATTGATGGCAGTGATGATTGTCATTGGGTTTAAGTTTCCTGTTAACGCCCGGACTGCTTTTTCTGCGACTGAAGGACGCTTCGTAGAGCAGTTCGGTGGTTGTGGGGCTGGCAGTTAGCCCCGTATCCGAATAGATCATGCAACTAGATATGGCATCATCGTTAAAATGTAGCTGCTGCTGTTCTTGCTCCAACAGTTGTTGCTGTTGCTCTTCCTCCTCTTGTTCTGCCGTTTGTACACACTGATCAACAAGATGTGGCGGTGTCTGCGTTGTGGACACGAGATGCAAGCTATCCCTCCGGCAGCTGTAACTATTGACTATGCGCGGCATTGTATAGGTCGCAGCAGGGGCAGCAGATACGGTTGCGCCGCTGCTCGTGGCACGCTGATATGTGCGCAAATTAATGGGGTATATGCGCGTTATGGGCACATAGTCATCGTCGCCAACTCCAACCGCCTCGTTCGAGTTTGAAGAACCATTGCCATCCACATTCGCAGGCACGCTGAAGTCAAGTGAGAACATTTCCTCCTCATCGTCCGATTCACACAGATCCACAACTTCGCGAGTGCTGTCTATTCCTCGATACAAGGCCGTAGCACGTTTCACAGGCTCCAAGTGACTAGCATTGCGGCACAAACGCTTTAGGAAGTCAGGCGGATCAGGAGCTGGTGGTGGCAGCGGCTGCTGCTGCGTTGCGCTCGCCGTTAAGAACAACGCGCTTACCAATACCAAGCTAGATTCAGAAGCTGTGTCCTCTTCATCTGAGTCAAGTATCTGTTGGCAAATATCGAACGAATTACTAAAGTATTTCTGCTTTTATAAATCTACTTAAGCTTCTTGGATAATGTACTCAGCTAAATGTTGAAGTCATTTTATGGGCAGCAGAAACACGTTTGCCTACACTCGAATCGCGACTAACTGCGTCGGTGAAGAACAAGGCGTGCACCGCTAGCCCAACTCAGACCTTTTACTAAAACATCATTGTTGATAAGAGATAAGCAATCTTATTCTAGTTGCTAACTTACTAATTCATTGGGCTGAAACATTCGATTGTCCATTTTGCTGGCTGAATGCAATCCTCGGCAACATTGCTTGAGGCTGAGATGCTCCAAAATGCAACGAGTGGCCGTGTTCGGTGTATTATATTTGGGCAGATGCTCTATGTAGGCGGGATTATAGGGTAGTGTGCGGGCAGGCCGCATAAATTTGTTAGCAAATTCAGAGATGCGCTGCTTAGTCAACTCATTGCGCTCCAATCGCTGCCAGTAATAAAATATAATAATATACTCAATATATATCTTATCGGGCAGCTCAGCCTGACTGAACAAGCCAGATGTTGACGACCATTGAGGAAAAAGACGGCTATAAGATGTGTACGAAAATTAAAATTAGCTTTTAACATGTTTTCATCAGATACCAACCTGTAGAAGACCGTGATGATGTTAGCCTGGCCATACAGCTTGGGTATTGCGATTAGCGTGCGCAGAGTGTTTTCCTTGTGCACAGCAGATCTCTCTTCATTTCCCTCAACGTATAGACTGAGCATGCTGCCAATTCTCTCTATGATACTCTGGTCCTTCTCGATTCGATCCTGTGCGGCGCATAGCTCACAGGCAATATAATTGGCCACAATGTAGCACCAACGATCCCGACACACAGTCCAGCTGCTATTGACCGACAAGCGTTGTCCCAGTAGAGTGTGTATCAGATCCGCGAGACCGATTATGCTGCGCGCCAATTTCCGACATATTGAAGGCGAATTCTGCGCGTATTCCAGCTCCTCTCGTATGGCACTGTGGAATGACAGGGTAGAATAAGATCAGAATAGGAGCGACTATTAGAATGAATGAATCAGCACTTACCTCTCGAACTGTCTGAGTAGTCGATTTATAACATTGTTGAAGCTGTCATCATGAATGGCGGCAATCGCTCTATAAATATATCGACGCGTCTCAGTCAGGTGCACAAATTCCGGCACCGCCGTCGTCGACGATGTTGATGCGGCGACGACGACGCCGACAGCGGCAGCGGGAGCAACTGTGCCATTTTCATCAGCATTCATGCAGTTGGTTCGTGTAGTGCTCATCATTCTACAATGAAAGAGAAGGTCGCAAATCAAAAAATTTGTGCATTGTTTGAAGAGAAAGTCCCGTTAGCATTGACTGGCCCTACATGCATATGTACATATGTGAGCACATACAACACATGCACATACGCTAGTCTACACACACAGTCACTCACGTACCGCAGATATGTTAACTGTAATGAAGAAGCGGCGCGCACTTCGCACGCTACACGGCAAATATCGTGGGTGCCCACAATCCAGTTACGAATTCACAAGGCATTTGTTGTATACTGAACATGTTTTACTCAACTTTCTGCATGCGCATTGTAATTTGTATGCTTTGCAGACTATTTGTGTTTTAGAATGTTGACTGCTAAAATACACACGAAAATGCATTAAATCGGTCACACTTGGCCTCAAAATCTCATTTAGTGTGACTGTACAATAAAAATGTGAAAATACCAAATGTGGTGCAACGTTGCTTTGTTTGCAGTGCTGTAAAACGTAAACGGAAGAGCGCCAAATATGATTTTAACAAATTTAAATTTACGTAATAGGTTTCTGTTTTTTATAAATATACATTTAATAAACATTAAGTACCACACATATAATCATCCAGCATTTGTCATGCTTACAAATGTAATTTCGTAATTAAAACAACCTAATTTTATTTGAGTTGCCAATTCGACAAGCATATTCCAACAATTGTATAGCAAGAAACACCAGCTGCTTTTGTTTTTAATGTTGTTACCAACTTTTTTTATTAAGTCCTTAATCAGTTCTTTCTCAAATGATTCTACAAATTCCAAATAGAAAACTTAGGTGAGTACATATTTAAAATTTATAGATTTGATTTCTCGGATACCACATCATCAATAAATCTGAATTCTAAACTAGAGACATATCAAATGCCAAATGCTGCACGTTTCCTTCCATTCAAGAATTTTGTTGCTGCAAATCACACTCAAATTTTTGTTAAATATTTTTATGCAAACAAATGGGACTTAAAATGTACTACGGCCAGGACTTGGGGACAATGATAAAAACTCATTGGAATTAGATCCACGACCGAAGACAAGAATAAACTACAGAATGTACGTTGCTATTTGTTATTTTTTGTGTTTATGTATGTGGTGTTTGTGTTTGCGTTGTTGCTGTTGTTTGTTTTTTGTTGGATTATATGCGTTGCTGTTGTTGGTTTACAACTCGTCCTTCTTAGGCGCCGCCTCCTCCTCTTCTTCGCTCTCCTCGGCGGGCTCGGCATCAGCCACTTCACCGTTGGCATCTAGGAACTTGACGAAATCATCCAAAGTCCTGTCCAGATTGTAGTCGATGACCTTGTTGTCATCCTTGCGGAAGTATTTGATGGTTGGGAAGGATGAGATCTTGATGTTCTCCAGCTCGTTGGCAGTGGAGTCCATTTTGGCAATGACAATGTCGGCATTATCCTTGTACTTCTCAGCCAGCTGGTCGTAGATGGGAGCCAGCTGCTTGCAGTGACCGCACCATGGGGCATAGAACTCAACCAGAACTGACTTGCTCTTGTCCAGGGCAACACTCTCGAAATTGCTAGACACGAGGACCTTGACGGGCTGTTTATCCCAATCCTCAGGAAGCTCCTGGGATAGCAGATGCTGCTTCAGTTTACCGTCGAGGAACTTCTTCAGGAATGCTTCAATAGATTCGACAGACAGATCGTTCGAGTCGGGCTTGTATTTGGCCATATCCTCCTCCAACTTGATCAAACGGATGGTGGGCACTTCCTCCTTGTTCATGCCGAAGAACTCAAAGATACGAGTGTGATCCTCCTCATCGGACGAGATGGTGACAAACAGAATGTCTTCACGGTACTTCTTGGCAATCTCCTTCAGTGGGTCAACATGGGCCTCGATATGGCCAGCCTCCTTGGAAACGAAGAACAACAAATGCGACTTGATGGAGCCGCCGAAGATTTTGGCAGCCGACTCATGGTTGAAGTCCACAATCAAAGGCAGAGATTGCACCTGAGCGAATTTCTTGAGGTTCTCCTCATTTAGCTCACCCTCGAACACGGATTTCTTTTCATCGAATGGCTTGAAAAGAATGACGCCATTGTCCTTAGCTTCGTATTTGGCAATAACATCGGCATTGCTGCTGATACCAAAGACAAACGAGTCCAATGCGTTAGCAGCTTTGGTGAAGATCTTGGCCTCGGCCGACTCAACATCCTTGAAGAAGCCAATGATAGCAATCTCATTGTCCTGCAGGAACTGCTCAGCATCGGCAACGCTGGTCAAATCCTTGGCTGGTGGGCCAGTCTTTTTGGTCACCCAGGCAATAATGTCGGCGGCCTGACGTCCACCATTGTACTCCACGGGCGAGCCGCTGCGGAAGAACTTCAGCGTGGGATAGCCACGCACCTGATACTGTTCGGCCAGATCACCCTCAACAGTGGCGTCAACCTTAGCCAGCTTGATGGGCGACTCCTTCTCGGCCAGCTGTTGGGCAGCCTTAGCATACTCAGGAGCCAGAGCCTTGCAGTGTCCACACCATGGTGCATCTATAATAAAGCATGTGAAGGTTAAAATAAGATATTAGACAACATTTTATAATTAGCAGAATAATTTATGTACTATAATCGATTGTCAGACTAGTGCTTATGACAGCGTATCACATTCATTTAGTTTATTATGAAATTTAAAGTCGATAGCGCCAGCTTAATGAATAGATTTGAATGGCTGTGCTTATCAAAAGCTCTAACAATCAATTCTATTATTATAAATAGATTATATCTAGAAATTTATATAGCATACACCATTTAAGCGAATCATTCGCATGGAAAATCAAATTGTCACAAGCACGTAGGCGTTCGCGTGGGCGTGGCAATAAAATATTTTACGCTACATTTAACATCGCTCAGCAGCTGTTGGAAATTATGCAAATTCCACGTGTTGAATTCTGAAGCGCTTAAAATTGCATATAGACAAGTGCGAGCAAGAAGGTGAGGGAGCCGAGATGAGACAGAGACACAATGACATAATGTGCGTCGGCGAAACAACTTGCACTCTTATCGACGGCTTAAGCTGACGTGGCCTTGGTAAATAATCGAAGCAATGATAAGATTTGCAAGGTGAATCGCGAAGAGTATTATCTGATGGAAGTCAAGTAATGGAACTCTCCGCTGCTGACGTTGACACATTAGCGAATTGTGAAACGTAGCGTATACAGATGAACTGCTAGCATAAGCAAGCCTCAGCAACTGCCCCTGCCACTGCCACAGCCCCAACATTAATGCATTGTTAGGCACGCGCTAAAAGAACAAAAACAACAGAGTATGCAACGAAAAACAAACAAAGAGTGTAACGAAAACGGAGAGCAAATGAATACAAAACGAAAGAGTTGAATGAACTTCGGCTGCTGCGCAGGCGCGAGCGCATTAGACGGTGCGTACGGTGTTAAAAAGGGCAAAGCAGAATAGAAAGCGGCACACAAAAGAGAGACAGAAAACATTCTTGACGGAACCGTGGCGAAAAGTTGTTTAGCTAACCCAGTTCCAAAGCGACAGTTGCTTGGCAACTTTTTTTGTTCTAAAACGAAATTGATGAAACGGATGTAGGCAACCAAGTTGCGAGTAGGCGATATATAGCCACGCCCGGGGCGAAGCGAAAGCAATGCAAGCGGGCAAGTATTGATAAAAGTGAGAAATATGAAAATAGAAACTGCTTGCGGGCTTATCTCGCTGAGGACGCCGTGCGGCTCTCAAGAAATAAAAGATAAGAGCAGGAACGCTCAACTACTTTGGCTGTCAAATGCCAACAATGCTGACCCTGTTGGGAAATGTGTCGAAGAATTATCTTCAACGCTTTTGATGACGCGCTACTTTTGCTTTGCTTAGCACTTTAACATTTAACTTAGGCGCAACAAATGCCAACACAGTTGTCTGCTCTCGCTTGCGCACAGGTGGTGGACCAGTGCGCGCAACAGAGATGGTCATATACAATGAAAGAAATTGACGTTGAACGGATAGTCAGAATGTGGAAGGGAGAGAGAGGACCTGGGCACAAGGCAATGTCTGCAAAATCTTATCGATATGCGATAAACGATATAATATAAAAACAAAAAAAAACTATACACAAATAAATTTTCTCTCTCAACTAAGACTTCTGTTCTCTTCCCGCCTTCACAAGCCACAGGAAGCTTGACTACTAGCAACAACAATGTGATTGCTGGCTAAACTGCCACGCAGACATATTTTGCTTAGAGCATCATGCTGCTGGCTTGCTGAGAAAAGACCACGTAGCCTCTTGCCGATTTTCATGAATCATCCACAATAGCGGTAGCGATTAAGCGGCCGGCACTGCACATTTTAATTATGTTAATAACGTTGCTAATATGTATGAATACTCACAGAATTCTACGAGTACAAATTCATTGTCGGTAATCACTTGTTTAAAATTGTCTACCGTTGCTACAATGACGCCTTCCTCCAATTTAATGTCAGCGGCCGCCACGTAGGACGCCGCGAGCAATGCACAGATTAGGAATTTCATCGCGGGCACTTAATATTTAGTATATATAAATGCTAATATGTAGGTAGATGTATATCACACAGACACACACTATCGCAACTTCAACGACAAAAACCACTACCGTACAAGTTGCAAGCTAAAATCCAAATGAAATCGTCGACGTCCACGCGACAGAACATTGGCTCCATATATACATATATCGAGTTGTTCGATTACACGAATCACTGGACGAAAAGAACGATTGTTTCAGCTAGTTCATTTCTGTTAAATTACACACTTAACATTGGACGCACCTGTTAACAATAATCCCAATGCTTGAATTTAACATTTCTCTGTTATTGCTTCAACGATTGATTACAAAAAAGGGGAAAAGCTTAAACTTATTGAATGACAATTATTGTTTATTATAATAAAGGAGCGCACGCGGCTGATCTCTTAACTCTTAATCTCTTAACTGTATATAATATAGTTTATCAACTCAGTATTATTTGTTTACTTGACTAAATAATAAAAAAGTGTGTGTATTACACAATCGTCATAACATTTAATTCAGTATACACTTATATCAACATACGCAGTTAACAAATGTATGAATATATATCACTCTCACTGACATTCAAAAGCTGAAATTTGCTGAATACATTGCTCAATTATTCTGTAGAGAATATCCGCTGTCTGACTTGTACTAAAAGGCTTATCAATAGGCGGTACATGTACGAACAAACTTCTATTGCAATTGATGTCCAAGGATTTGAGATAAATATAACCGCAAAGGAAGCTGCCAACATTTTTGGACGCCATAGTGGCACCTAAAGTTTTATCGGCCTCAGCTGTAGCCACACAATCTTTGCAAGCGCTATTTACAACCCTCACTATCGTATCGACGTCAAGGCCACAACGCAAAACATTTGCATGTCCATGCTGAGGTAAAGGGCAAGTGCCTTTCTCTAAATATTTCCCCGCATTATCTGGACGTCGAAATTGATGATTGTAGGCAAGCTTTTCTACATAAACGCATTTGGCTACGCCAGAGACACCGACATGCACGACAAGCTGTGAATATGTATGGATATGATGATGTCAGTGCTTCGCACTTCAACGATCTATTACTTATTTCTTGCCTCTGGTTGGCCTTGCCAAATCTCTGCAACTGCCTCATCGACAGATTCGTATTCTACCGGCACCATTCGTTGCTCCAGCTGGTAGTCGATGTCATTATAGCTAAGATTTTCGGGTAGCAGCTGCACAGCCTCCCAGCTGGCATTGACTTCCTCATGGCCCACAAATGGTCCGAATCCAGTGACCACAATTTGCTTACGCTTCGTTGACGACATTGTAAACACTGCCCACTAGAGCGGAGCGTATTAACCAAACACACACACACACATGCAAATAGTTAAAGTGTTAAGAAACATAGTAAATAAAGAAAGGTACGCTGATAACATAAGGCGTTCCAGCAAAACTATCAAGATAACTAAAATTAATTTACAATATTACAGCGAGCTCTTCTTTTGAATTTGGAATATCTCGTCAATATTATAGAAATAGTTGCATAATTTTTTAATTTATCCATGGACCTTCCGCTAAGACGTTTTATTAGTCATATAAAATTACATTAAACTTATAAGCCAAACTTTAAAAATTTTGTATAAACCATGTTTATTTATATTTAATAGCCAAAAGTAATAATTTAAAAGTAGAATTTAAAAGAAAATAATTTTTCAACACATGTCCAAAAATAATATGTTTGATTAGCAGTGTCCGTTAACACAGCTGATTTAGAATAGTAGTGCTGTAAGGTGCTGTATTGATAACAGCCCTGTTAGAACTAACTTATGCCAGCCCTGTTTGGGCGCTAATACACAAAGAAATTGCAGACAAGTGTTTTACTGTTCAGTTAATGTTAAACATAAATTTTTGTGCAAAAGTATTAAGAAAACCAAGTATGCTGACTTAAATAGAGAATATTAAACATAGACACATATAAACAAAACATTCCACGCGTGCTAACCGCAAAATATCAACAACCATCGCAAGGGGCCAACCAAGAATTAAGAAGAGATCAAAGCCGAAATCAATAAATAAGTGCGATTTCATAGAACAAGCAAACGGCGCAAAGGTGCCCCATAATATACAACGCAAACCATTTGTAAGCATTACATCGGTATTAGGCTAATCTAATCTATTCTGACCAAAGTCGCCGACGTGGTTGACTCAAACTCGCATATTTGAACTTTGTACATTAAGAATTAATAGAAATTTCTATTGCAGAAGCGAGGCAACGGCAACGGCAACAGCTGTCGATATTCCCAACTGAAATTTTAAGGTCTCACACGAGGGAAGGAGCTCATAATAATGTTGTCGCGCCTGCAAGACTTTCTGTCACGCCATCGACGTAAATTTATTGTAACTGGCGTCCTGGTGGGTGGCACCATCTATGCAGCGCGCTATGCGCAGCGGAAGCTAGTGGAATACCAGGAGAAACAGGCGAGGGAGTTCTTTGAGCGTACACGGCGAATGCATCATTTTGAGTCGACGGAACGCACCTGCAACCAGGTGATTCTTGGCATGGGCGAGGAGATGTGCCAGGCGGTGTTGCACGAGTGCAGTACAGATGAACTACTAGAGCAGCTGCGTCAGAATCCAGCTAATAAACTGGAGTTGTGGGAGCAAATGAAAATTGTCTCATTCACACGCCTAGCCACATTTGTCTATGCCTCCTCGATGCTGGTAATTGCATTGCGCGTGCAGCTCAACCTGCTCGGTGGCTACATCTATCGGGACATCATGACGGAGCAGCGGCAAATAACGGACGAATTGAAGCAGCAATATTTATCGCTCATCCGCCACTTTATCACGCACGATGGCATACGGGATTTGGCTCGATTTATACGCAGCCAAGTGGTGGAGGTGTTAAAATCGATGCCGCTTACGCGTCAGTTGACGCTGGCCGATACGGAGCAGCTATTCTGGTCGCTGCAAATGGCCATCAATGGGGACACACGGCACGATCCCAACTCGAAAATGAGTAAGTACCTGCTGCCAGATCTCACCCGACTGCAGGAGAGATTCAATTGCTCTCCGCTGCTGCAGCAAATGTATAACGAAACGCTGGATTTGCTCGAGAGCGAGGATTGCATAGGTGTTTGTGCGCACAATGTGAGTCGCGGATTTGTGCTCAGCTGTGACGCCATTGCCGAGTCCATGGGGGAAACTCTGCAGCATTTGGCACCCGGCGAGCTGCAGCAGCAACAGTCCCTGAATGGACAGACCAAACAGAGCAACAACAACAATCTGTTTGATGTGAATACGGTGCTGATGGCTTTGGCTAAACTGATACCCATCATCAGTGGACTCACTTCGCATGGCTACGATAGTGCTGCCCGGCCACATAATCTGCCGACGCAGCTGCTCAGCTTCTATGTAGTGTCTGAGAAATCGAAAATGTTAGGCGCCAATGTTTACGAGTCCTTCAGCTCTGGCTAAACGACAGTCAAACATAATATATATATATAAGTATATATATACTTTATGTAAGCTTAAGACAATTGCAAACTAAGATTATATATACATATATATAAGGAAAACTAATTTCATCAAAAACATTGTGTGTTATGTGTGTGTTTGTATATCTATTTGTACTATGCCTAAGTCTTATAGCTAAGATCAGAGTATATAAACATTGAATCAGAGGGTTAAGTCATAAGTGATTTGAATTGATAGTAATATACAAAACAAGCAACGTGAAGGCCTTTCAAAATATAAATATGTGAATGGAATAGTATTTAAATGCTAAATTTTATAATAAACAAAAAAAAATATTACTGTTTTTTTAAGAATAGTACATTACTTCGAAATCGACACTCAATTTACAGGCTTAGCTGAGACTCAAACCAAAGTGTTCAGCTTCAAAATGGGGTGGCGCGCAGAATAGGAAAAAACCGCCCTATGCATTCTATTGATAAGGCGCGCATTCACCGACAGCTGTCGACGTCTCAGTCGCAGTCGCAGCGACTTCGTTTGTTTATTTCATAGCTCTTGCTCAGCGCCTTATTGACTCTCTCAGGCTCCCTCTCTCTATCAGTCTCTCTCTCTCTCTCTCTCTCTCTTCATACAGCACAGGCAGCGCTTGCGCATCAGTTGCTAAACAAAATGCAAGCGCAGCTGAACGTTTTGTGCTCACATGCAGAAGTATAAAGTATCTTTTAGGCGCAGTCAAATGTGTTTTATGACTTATGCTCACTAATGTTATCAAACTTAAATGTATATATATTTATATATATATATATATGTATATATATATATAATATTATCATTGCTTACTGATTATCATATTTTGCGCGCTCTCCTTAGCGAACCGCTCTCTCACTCTCCCGTCCTCTGTCTCTCCTATTCGCTGTGGCTGCTGCCCAGCTGTCTGGCTAGAGTCTAATTATTATGTACATTGGCAGCGCAGTTGCAAAAGTTACGTGAAAACGTAAAGGACAAACGTCGCGCCTTCTTCAGCTACGGCGTGTCTGTGCGTGAATTTGAGTGCGCGCGTGTGTGTGTGCTTGCTGTGTTGTGTGCAAATAGAAAAACAACATCAAGCAATGTGCAGAAACGTGCAAAATATGTTAAGCGTAAGCAAAAGTCGCAACTGCCACTAACTGAAATCCAAATATCAGCGAAAATCAAACGGAAATCAAAGCAACAAAACAAGTTTGTGTAAGTTGTGTTCAAAAGTGGGAATGTTAAACAACGTCGTTATTGATTAAGACAAAGGAAAAAGCAATTTCGACACACGCACACACAGACACACATAGGCACACACACATGTATATAAATATATGCGGCAGACAGACATGTGCGTGTGCTACCGTTAGTTTATCCCAAGGGGTGGGTGCAACGGGCAGTGCAAGCGTTAAAGCTGATTCTTTTACTGTTAAAGCTGTATATTTCCTGCCAGCAAGCAATGCCCCTACCGTAAGCGGCTCTGCGAGCGTCATAAATTGTGCGTAAGCCCCACTCACATGTGAGCGCGCGTGCAGAGCTAAAAATATAAGCGTATTACTAGTCGCATGTATAGAACTAACGGGCCCACAAAAAGCCTGTCTCACCATTTGGTTATTTGCCTATGTGGAGGGCCCCAGTCTACGGCGAAGTTGAGTGGGCCAACGTGCACATCACAGACAACAACATGGAAGACTCTTGCCACGCCCCTACGCCCTCAAGCACGAACGAGCCATAGAATATTTATGAAAACAATGCATGCAAGGCAAGTCAAGTGCTGGTCCGTCTATGGGCACATTGACACACTAAATGCAGGGGATCAAGTGGCTTGACAAGAGGCACCAACCACACCACCACCACCACAACAACAACAACACCAACGAAGAATATAAATAAATATAAATCGAGCAAACTTTGTGTAGGTGTTCGCACTGCTAAAGCAACTTAAATATAGACATGGTTAGTCCGACAAATAGTTAATGATATGGCATATATATACACAGGTATTCTATATATGCTTAACAATATTCCATCGAGAAACTCTAAACCTAATCTGCGTGCAAAGCTATCAAAGTCTAGGCTTTTGAATTAGCTTCTCTAAAAAGTAGCTTTGATGAGTTTTTTAATCTATAATTAATATTGTGTTTCGCTTATTGTAGACGAATCTGTGGAATCGCCCCAAATTGCTAATTGAAGTGTTCTTCATTTGTTAGGGGAAAGATAAGTTGATATCTTTGAGAAAGCACGGGAAATTAATCTGTTTTTTTTTATTTTAGTTGATTACACATGAGAATTTAGCGTGCTGAAAATGTGTTTCATTTCTTATCAGCAAAACATAATTTGAGCCTAAAATTGAAGTGATAAAGCGAACATGTAGAGGAAGTAGACAATAATTACAGGGGAACCTTTCAGTATACCTGAATAAAAGGCAATATGCTAGTAGCTGCAATCAACCACTGAATAGTGGAATCACCCTAATGCACACACACACATACGTTGCATGTTCTATCCATTTGCTTTGTATGCAACATGCCAGCAAAGTCCTACTTTTGCAACATGAATGAAAGGCTATAACTACATTTTTTATGAGTTCTGGAGTATGAAGTTGGTTGTCTCTGTCTCTCTCTCTCTCTCTCCCTCTCTCTGTCTCTCTCTGGCCGCTGTGGGCATTATTCGTCTTCGTTTGTTCGGCTTGTCAAAACCGTCAAAAACAGCGATAGACAAGCTGCCAGCCAAGCAGCCCGCCAGCTCGCGTCCTCTGCTAGCCACTATAAAACTAGCACTCAAGAGACTCGCCACAACAAGCCGCCCTGGCCTGACTTGCAGCCCAACGACAAATACCCAAGCCCCAACCCCTCCCCGACTTCCATTCGAATTCCAATTCCTCGCTGCAACCGCAGGGCAGAGCACTCACACAGACCCTCAAAAGAGTAGGTAAAATAGTTTCGTAAATGACGTTTGATAGATGGCTGCATGGCTGAATAGATAGATAACTGGCCGCCGGGTCGTTGGCTCTGATTAGTTCTATATTCCATTCCATTCCTGAATACCTCTAATGAAACTGCCTCAGCTAAGTACGGGCGAAGCGCTGCTCGACTGTAATTAGTTGCCTATGTGTGTAGGGGACGCGGAGGCACAGCTCATAAAAAGCTGACTTGCTTTGACTTTATCTGGCTATAGTTTTCTTTTATTGCTCATACGCCCCGTTGTGTTATTTAGCACAGCTCCTCGAGGCAGCTGCAGGAGATGTCAAAAGCAAGCTTCTGTATGAAATACCCTGCATAGAACGGGCAATTATCTTTTATTAATAAGAAAATATCTCAAGAACTACTTCAGTATGAAAACAATATACCTTATTTGGCTGCTTTTATGGAGCATTGCATAGATAAATCAAATAATCAATTGGTCGCAGGCTATGAAATGAGGCGTGGAAAATGTGGACAAAAGACTAAAATGTGGAATATACATAAATGGAGAGTTAATATGATTTGCTTTGCTCTCAATATTCGCATCGAATTTCTGAACCTTAAGTTTTAGCAAGCTACAAGTAATTTCTGTTAAAGTGGATTGAAAATGAAACAGTTTCTTACATTATCAATTCCCAAGTGCCTGATAACGATGCCGTCACTGGCAGAGCGCGCAATTCATTTGAATTAAGTGCTGAGCTGTCAAAAGGGTCTTTTAGACGCCCCTCATTGGATATATGTGTCATAATTTGTGCAGATAAGGTGACGCAACGTAGCCACGACTCGGCGATTGCAAACAGTTTTAGCTTCTGCTCGATACAGGGCTAGACTGAAAGCCTAGTTATTCGTGTACGGGCAGCGGACTAACATAGATCGACAGCACGGAACACGGACAGACAGACAGACAGACAGGCAGAAGCGAACGCATCGTACAGATCATTAACACAGGTAATTATTCGCCAGTTGTTGTTATACCAATCAAGAGAATTGATCTGCATTAGAGTCTATATATATGTATTCATACATATTTAAGTTATATATTTAAAAAAAAAACATGTCCATAAAATTGTTTACAAACATTCTACAGCAATATGGCCAAGTTAACTGGCTGAGCCGTTAGCCAACTTTACGCCCCACTCAGTCAGCAGTCCATTACTAAAGCGCAAGGTCATAGAGAAAGAGCAACCCTCGGGAAGCTTACCAGAGCTGTGTTCAGAATGCGACGTCCAAAAATATCGCTGAAGAAATATTTCTATTTTACGCTGATCTGTGCGCTGCTTCTCATATTCGGCTTCAATCTCAAGTGAGTATATAATCTCTCTCTCTATATACATAGCATACAAGGCAGATGCTAACTTAGCACCACAATTTCAGAGAGAAAGAGATATGGAAGTCGACAATCTCGCGACCCGTTCTAACCCCCGCACAGCAGCACCAGCACCAGCAGCGACGTGAGCTGGACACAAATGAGGTAAAGACTTGGCCTTTGGAGGAAGCCACAGTGATATATGCTTCGGCGCCGCCAGCTTCGCCTGAATCCCTGCCTGACACAGCTGAACAGCAGCAACAGCAGCAGCAGCTGGAGGCAGAGGAGGAGGAGGCAGAAGATGCTGCGGCCGATAAGCGTGTTGAGCTAGCGGCTACAGCCAAGCCCTGGTTCTTTCGCAATGGGGAATACTATCCGAAGCCAGCGAAGAGTTTCAGCAACCGCAAGGCACGCAAGCAGCACGCCCCCAAGCTGTTTCCACACCAGGATCCGCACAACGATCGTGTCATCAATCAGCTGATGTATGTGCCACACAACTATGAACAGATCAAGGCGAGTGGCAAGCTGAAAACCATTTTGCTCTACAACGGATTGGGTCCGTGGAATGTGAAGAAGGGTCGTGAGGTTTTCCTGCGCTCCAAGTGCCCCGTGGACACATGCGAGCTGACTGCCCATCGGGAGCTGGCCAGTGTGGCAGACATGATACTCTACAAGGACAACTACATACCAACGGGCATACGCCGGCCCAGCAATCGCAAGCAGGTCAGCATGATGTACTACCTGGAGTGTCCATATCACACGCAGAACGTCAAGGTGCCAGACGCCATCAACTGGACGGCCACGTATAGGTGGGATAGCCAGGAAACTTAGTCGAGGCAATATAAATTTGATTCTGGTTAAATTCTCTTCACAGACGCGACAGTACTGTGATGGCGCCCTATGAAAAATGGCAGTACTACGACACGAAGCTGCAGCAGCAGGAACAGGATCACAACTATGCGCTCAACAAAACGAAAAAGGTGGCCTGGTTCGTCTCCAATTGCGGCGCACGCAACGGCCGATTGCAGTACGCACATGAGCTACAGAAACATATTGAGGTGAGTGCGGGATGGGTCGGAAATTGTCCGTAAGAGATATCAACTAGCAACCTAATAAGGATCGCCTTAGAGTAAACAGCTGACATAGTCTTTGGAAAAGAATAAATTTTATTCTATTTAACAAGACGAGTTTCAAAATCTTCCTTTGTCTTCAAAACAGTTTGAATATCTTCAAAATATCTCACTTCAAATTTGAACTTTCCACTGCCTGATTCCATTCCATACTCACCTGAACTCCTTCACTTGCAGGTGGATATTTATGGCGGCTGTGGCAATTTCAAATGCCCTCGCAGCACCGCCGACAAATGCTTCGATATACTGGACAACGATTACAAATTCTACTTGGCATTCGAGAACTCCAATTGCAAGGACTACATCACTGAGAAGTTCTTTGTGAATGCGCTGAATCGCAAGGTGTTGCCAATTGTGATGGGCGCCCGGCCCGAGGATTACGAGGTGAGTGCTCCGCGTCGTTCCTACATACATGTGGACGAGTTTGCCTCGCCCCGAGAGCTGGCCGAGTATTTGCACATACTCGACAAGGACGACGAGCTCTACAACTCGTATTTCAAGTGGAAGGGCACCGGGGAGTTCATCAATACGTTCTTCTGGTGCCGCGTCTGCTCCACGCTGCACAATGAGGATCAGTTGCGTAAGTCCACCTGGTATCCGGACATCAATGATTGGTGGCGGGGCGCTGGGGTTTGCACCTCGGGCTCGTGGCGTAACTTTAAGGCGCGCATGGACGTGATTAGCGATGATTGAGATGGGGACGTGGTCCAGATAGTGGACGGCGCCGGTGTCTTCACATAATCAAAATCCAATACGTGTGGCTATATATATTGTTGTTGTTTTTGTAGGTATCTGTTTGTACTGTAATGTAAAAAACAAGAGAAACAAGAATTCTCCTTCGCTTTTATCGAAGAGCCGGGCAGACCCGAAACCAATTGGTTTTCTAGCTAGAACTAAGTGCTTCACGTACATACATATACTTACGTATGTACATATATATATAAATATATATATATATATATATTCATATGCATGAGCAAATCGAAAATCAAACGAGCATGGGGCAAAAGCCTCGGTATAAATCGAGGAATAAACATGTTCCTTCCAGGATTGAGAGAAAAAAAAAGCTAAATACAAATACAGAGAGACAAGCGCATAGAAACTAGCCTATATATAGACTAAAGATCCCGCGAAGATCATTTGTAACATATACAATACGAAGAAAGTAAAAAACCAAAATATATAAGAGAAATTAGCCTAGTTATACAAATTATATAGTACTCAATGTATATTTCAGTTGTTCGAAGAGCAAGTCCAATTTAGCGCATAGGCAGAAGACGATACGGACGGACACACAGACATACAGACACAAGATGAATGTTCAATAGCGGTATATACATATATATACATATATATATATATATATATATATATATATATATATATATATATATATATATATATATATATATATATATATATATATATATATATATATACATATATATATATCTGATATATAGCTTATATATGTAGGTCATAAGCCGATTGCATACATAATTATAGATCGTTTTGTAAGCGTTTTCGAAGCAACAAAGTCAAGATCGATTTTTTTACTTTGCGTGTTTAGATAGTATCGATTGCATTGCTTCGCTTTTAGTTGGATCAATAGATATAGTAGATAATCATCGCACAACAAACAAGCGCAATGTTAGACTAGTCTGGGCTTTAATCTGGTCGTTAGATTTTAGGCTGCATCAACAACAACAACAACAAACATTCCTATTTTTATACACTTGCTGAGAATATTATTTAGTTTCCCTTGGCAGCTCGTTCCATAGAAGATCTCTAGTAACTTGAGCTGATATAAACCTTGCTATTTATAGATTGTGTTTAGATTATGTCGCAATATTAGGATATTATGTAGCCAATGTACTTATGTATACCCTTTCGGTATTATTTATATATATATTTTCAGTAATGTGTATAACTGTTAATTTTAGTTGTGAATTACTTGAACTGTGTGTGTTTTACAATATTTAGCAATACATATATATTACTTCAATAATATTTAATTTGTAAGCATTTAATAATATCATATGTGTATTTTGATTATGTATTTAATTATTTTTAATTTTTACTGTGATAAAAAAATAAGAAAAAAATAAACAATGACAACAAATACAACAAATGGCACTCGATTCATAACTATTATTTCAAATACTGTTTTCAATGAACTGGAATAACTCATGGTATTCAGCTATAGACATTTTTATGAGATTAAAAAGCAAACGTAAACATAAGATATCTCAAAACATCGACGACAGCAACTCAAGCTGTGCACACATATTGACACGATGATAAAAAAATATTGGCGCTCCACTCTTTAAATTTAGCCTCTCTCATAGCTGGCATCTTGACGCTCGGCTTCAGTACAATAATACTAATAATAATAAATATTAGCTGCTCACACTTGGCACAGTTTAAGCTGCGTTAGCAAATCTTTCAAATTCTTCAGTTTTTCTTTCTTTGTGTTATCCATCTTATCTCCAAGCGCAGTTGCTGTCACAATTTTCGCTGCAATTTTGCGCTGCAGTGCAATAGCTTCGACTTTTTTAGATAGCTGTGTGAAAGATAAGGAAATAAAGGTTTTGTTGAATGCAAATTAATGGAATAGCTACCTCGTAAGCACGTTTAATTATGCCATGTGGCATGCCCGCCAACTTGGCTGCATTGAAGCCGTACGATTTGGGACAGGCGCCTGCTGTGTATTTGTACAGAAAGGTGACCGTCTCCTGGGTGGGATCTGTATTGTCCTCATTCTCAACCATGCACGCCATATGGCCCAAGGTAATGCGCTTATCCATGTGGAAGAAGTCAATCAGATTGTGGTAGTGCGTGGAGAACAAAGTGCGGCACTTCAGGTTAGCCAAAAAGTTGACAACAGATGCAGCAATGGCGGTGCCATCATATGTGGCAGTGCCGCGTCCCAACTCATCGAGCAACACTAAGGAATTCGAAGTGGCATGCTTTAGTATAAGCGAGGTTTCATTTAGCTCCACCAGGAAGGTGCTGTGACCAGCCAGTATATCATCCTGAGCGCCCAGCCTAGTGAAAATGCGATCCACAAGCGAGAGTCGACAGCTGGCAGCAGGAATGTGGGCACCCTAAAAACAAATAATACAACAATTATTCAGTTAAGTTGATTTTGGTCCAACTGCTACTCACAATTTGTGCCATGACGACCAGCAAGCCGAGCTGTCGCATCAATGTGCTCTTGCCGCCCATATTGGGGCCAGTGAGTAGCGATAAGGGAGCCTCCGATTCGGTGCCCAGCTGCAGGCCATTGGGTATGTAAGTAGATGGATTTGCGCACGGATGATAGCCCTCCTCCAGTTCAATAAATGGCTGGGATTGCGCCGAGACCAGCTCCGGCACACAGATGACCAGTTGCTGACGCGCATATTCAGCGAGGCCGGCGAGCACATCTAATGTGGCCACACAGTCGATGCACTGCTTCCACTGTTCATAGTGAATGGAGAACTTTTCGAAGAGGCGACGCGCCAAGTCCTTAAGCAGAGTGTTCCGAGCGTCCTCTGCCTGCTGCATATCCTTCAGCAGCGCCTTTGTCTCCGTTGTGGTGTAGCGACGAGCAGGCTTTTTGCCCTTCACCTGCCCCTCCAGCGCATACGACTTGGTGGCCTTGTGGGCATGCGTTTCGGGCACCTCCAGCTGATAGCGTTTCTTGTCGGAGCCAAAATAAATTACGCGGCAGCCAAAGTGACGCTCTTGCTCAATCAGATAGGCCTTCAGACGTTTCTCAACCTCTGCTATGCGCTGCAGCACCTCATCGTAGTCTGAGTCCATGCCAGGCTGAGGTGCAACGACGCCGTCTTTGGCAGCTGCCTCGTGGTCGAAGGCATTCTCAAAGAACTTCAGCTGCTTGCTGAGATCGGGATAGTTGCCTCCATTGGATGGAAGCTGAGTCAAACGCTGCAGTAGCTTCGCTTCACATTGTCGGAACATCGCTGGCAATTGCATCAATGTCTCAAAACCTTTGAGTATGCTCATGAAACTGCGCAGCTTCTGTTTATTGTAGAGCTTCTCCTCGAAAAGTATGGCCCTGCTGTCTGGATGCTCCGTTTGGCCTATGTATTTGTTGCCAAATAAATGAATCTGAGCCAAATGACGCTCGAAGTCGGGCATAGGCGCCAGCAAGGCGCGCAACTGCTGCAGTTCATCAGGCTGTCGTAGCAGCTCCCCAATCGCCTCCTGTCGTTCGCGTAGCACAGTCAAATCACAGCTGGGCGCACACAGCCAATGATGCAGCAGCCGTTTCCCAAACTTGGTGCAGCACTGATCTAGCGTCGACAGCAATGAATGCTCCTCGCCAACAATGCGCAAATTGGACAAGGTCGTTGCATCCAAAACCATGTGCGAGCGCTGCAGCGCTGTAGCAGTCACTTTTGGCTTGGTAATCTCATCCTGCTGTTGATCAGGCGGCACATACAACTGATAGCGCGCCATGGGCAGCACCTTGGGCTCCAGCTTACATTTGGCTATGTAGTGTATGCATTGACCTAGAGCTTTGAGTGCCAGCTTATAGGGCTCTGCAGGCGTGAGACCCAAGTGGTCTGTGTCCGACTGCATTGTGCGCAACACCAGCGGCCAGTTGTCCTCTTGGCCAGTGCCAGCATAATAGCGCTCCGCTAGCAGCTTCAGTGTCTTCTCAGCGCTACATAGTTGGCTGCCAGCTCCAGGTAGCTGCTCCTTAAGTATGCCACCCAGAACAGTGCGTAGTATTTGTTGAGTGCGAGAGCTAAGAGCTGCCTTCTCATGGAGTAACTAAGAGGAGGAATAGGGTTTATAGATTCGTAGTCTTTCCTTAGAGCTTTGAGAATACTCACCAGCACGGGCATGTTGTGGGAGATTAGTGTCAATAGGCGAGAGCAGCTTTTGTCATCATCAAATTCACCCACATGGAAATCACCAATGGAGGTGTCTATGAAGCAAATGCCATATTTGCTGCTGGAGCCCGCATCCTGCTCTACTATGGCTAACATATAGTTGGGCTGATGATTGGGACCAATGGCGCACTGCGAGCCAAACACCTGAGTGCCACGATCTGTGATCTGACAGATCTCACGAGCCACGACCTTATCGAATTTTGTGGCCTTGATGCGTTTGCAACGCTCCGTCATCATGTCCGGTGTTTCGGTTTGCTCCACACGGGCGATCTGCAAAAAAAAGGAGATGTTAGAAGACAATCCCTTTGAGACGGTCTGCCCTCACCTTATAGCCCCTGTCTATGAGTATGGAGGACATCTTATCAAAGGAGATTTCTGGGAATCCGGAGTGTGCAAATTCTCCGCGCATGTAGGTGAAGCCCAACTCATTGACACCCACATCGGCATCGCCGTGATACAGCTCATAAAACTTGCCCACTTTGAAAAAGAGCACGCAATCAAAGTTGTCTGATTTGAGTACCCACCATTGGCGCACGCCCGGCGACAAGGAATTGAGGAACTTCTCGGGCACATGCAGCGTGCTCTTGTCGTAATCGGGATGATCTGGTCGCCTGCCTGCCTTGTCCTTAATCTTATCCGGCTGCAAGAAGTCCAGCTTCTGATGTGGCCAAACAACAGGCTCATCCAGATTCGATGTGGTGGTCACAATCTCATCGTAAGCAGCATCCTTTTTAGCATTACTTTGCAGCTGCTGCAGCTTCTCCATAAACGTGCCACCTGTCACTAAGACGGGTGTCTCCATCTTCACCTTCTTGCTAGCAGGTTCTTCATTATTATTGTTGTTTATAAAGTTTTTCGTGGACTTTTTGCTGTTCTTCTTGGGTGTTGGGTCGTCTTCAGTGTCAGGATCGCTAATGTCAACTTCTTCTTCGCCGCTGGCGCTCTCTTCGCTGAAGGTAGCCTCCTTTGCATCTGGTTGATAGTCTGAGCCATCATCGGAAAAGTCTGGTTCCGATTTGGATTCGTATTCCTCTTCGCTCTCTGATTCGGGTAATACAATGCGCTTTCGTTTACGTTTACCAATCTCCTCTTCAGGATCACTGTCTCCTGTAGCTTCTGGCAACTTGCGTCTAGCAGCTGGTTTGATTTCCTTATTCACACCCTTGAGATTCCTGTTCTGCAGATTCTCCTTTTGGAGTTCCCCTCCATTGCTTGGCGTTAGTTTCTTTTTGTCAACAACTGGCGATTTGGCAAAGTAGTTGAACAGCGTATTCTTGGGCGTGCCACCTGCACTAGTATTTAATTTCTTGGACATATTTCAATCGCCTCTTCAGGCTACCAAATCACGAATGCCAAGAAAACAAATGACGCCAAAAATCTGCGCCAAAATTAAGCGGCAAATAATTGACAGAGGAATAACAGTCTCGTAACAGAGCACAGCTGCTGGCTTGCACAGTGGCAACTCTGCCGCTTAAATTTGCACATAGACAATAACAGTAGCGGAACAGAGCACATATGTTTTTCATTAGGTGGCAACGTTGCCTTTTAAGTTTTTACATATGCTATGCAATAAAGTGTGGCAGCACTGAAGTAAAGCAGATGTTCTCTGCAGTTGGCAACGCAGCAAAAGTTTTGTTTACAACGAAAACGTTTAAAATTATTCCGGAAAAGATTTAAATATAGAATTATAAATAATGTCGTTAGCGGACGAACTACTTGCAGATTTAGAAGAGGACAATGACAATGACATTGATGATGCCGAGATGGCAGATGCCGACGATGTCGAGCAGGCAACGCTCAACCACGAACTTGCAGAAAAGTTCCTGAAGCCGGCGCCAAATCTAATGGAAGTGGACGTCACGGTTCAATCTGTGCGAGAACTGTGCAAGCTGCGTGACTCTGACCGTTTGCAAAACACTCTCAAGCAAATCGAGCATTATGCGAGTCGGCAGCGCAGCGCCGCCGAAATGTTGGGCAGCGTGGAATCAGATCCAGAATATTGCCTGATTGTGGATGCAAATGCGATTGCCGTGGATATTGACAACGAGATTTCTATAGTGCACAAGTTTACCAAAGACAAATATCAGAAACGCTTTCCGGAGCTCGACTCACTCATTGTGGGCGAAATTGAGTACCTGTTGGCTGTCAAAGAGCTGGGCAACGATTTGGATCAGGTCAAGAGCAATGAGAAGCTGCAGGCCATACTCACTCAGGCAACAATTATGATTGTCTCTGTGACTGCATCCACCACGCAAGGGTAAGTTACCGTTTGTAATCTAATGATCACATCTAATCTATTATAATTTTTTGGTAGCACCATGTTAACGTCTGCTGAGAAGGCTAAAATCGATGAGGCCTGCGAAATGGCAATTGAGCTCAACAATTTCAAATCCAAGATCTATGAATATGTTGAGAGTCGTATGACCTTCATAGCGCCCAACCTGTCCATGATTGTGGGCGCTTCCACAGCTGCCAAGCTGTTGGGTATTGCCGGCGGCCTGACCAAACTTTCAAAAATGCCTGCGTGCAATGTGCAGGTGCTCGGCTCTCAGAAGAAGACTTTGTCGGGCTTCTCACAGACCCAAATGTTGCCACATACGGGCTACGTTTACTACTCACAGATCGTCCAGGATACGGCGCCCGACTTACGACGCAAAGCTGCAAGGCTTGTTGCTGCCAAGTCAGTGCTAGCAGCGCGTGTAGATGCCTGTCATGAGAGCGTGCACGGCGAGATTGGCCTGAAGTTTAAGGAGGACATTGAGAAGAAACTGGACAAACTGCAGGAGCCGCCGCCGGTGAAGTTTATCAAGCCGTTGCCAAAGCCCATCGAGGGTAGCAAGAAGAAGCGAGGTGGCAAACGCGTGCGCAAGATGAAGGAACGTTACGCGCTGACTGAATTCCGCAAGCAGGCTAATCGTATGAACTTTGGCGATGTAAGTATACTATTTGATTATTCATATTTATATATACTATATATATATGTATATCCCTTGCAGATCGAGGAGGACGCATATCAAGGAGATCTGGGCTACTCGCGCGGCACCATTGGCAAAACGGGCACTGGACGCATTCGCTTGCCGCAGCTGGATGAGAAGACAAAGGTGCGCATTAGTAAGACGCTGCAGAAGAACCTACAAAAACAGCAGGTCTACGGCGGCAACACTACAGTAAAGCGTCAAATCTCTGGAACAGCATCCAGCGTAGCATTTACCCCGTTGCAAGGTCTTGAAATTGTTAATCCACAGGCAGCCGAGAGATCCCACACAGAAGCCAAGTATTTCTCAAATACATCTGGTTTCCTGTCGGTAGGCAAGCGCACAACTTAAAACTACAATATATAATATATATGTAAAATTATAAAATTAAGCACTTTTATTTAGCGAATTGTCGGCATTGTAAGAGATTCAAAGCGCCACGGAATGAATTAGGCCTAATAAAGCTGCAGAGATTCCTGAAATAGTCCGCAAATTGATAGCTGCGTTAGCTGAGCTTGCCAACCTCCAGTTTACGTTGAATGGCTTCCAACGAATTGTTCAGCACCACGGCCAAGATGCCCGCGACGGTAAAAACGCCGCCAATAATCGAGCAGCAGTTGGTGGCAAAGTGACCAAAGGAACTGGAGGAGTTAACAATTAAATTAACTATTTATTAAATTCAATCTTTAGCAGCTACTTACACATGCCTTTCGGCATACTTGACCATCAGCGGAGAGAGTTCATAGCTAAAGAAAATGCCTGGCATGCCTCGTTCCCGATCTGTTAGATCCTTGCGATGCCTCGTAACGGAGAACTGATTTGTATATATGGGTTTGCCATCGCTGTGGCGCTCATAGAGCGTCGGCACAATTTTCAAGTAATAGTTAAACATTTCGCTTTTTGATTCTGGAAAGATACAAACCACATATTATTTATCCAATTGAATTATACTTCAATTCGAAAATCTATGTTAAAACCAAATTCAATCAGAAACATGTAGTGTCCGTAGATTAACTAGAATTGAGTGTCAGTCCGCTATAACACACAAGCGCCATCTATGGATTTAAATTCATAACAGGGCTGCAGATTTAAATACGTTATCCAATAACAAGAATAGATCAAGTTCGGAATTTTTATAGTGCTATACAAGCTCAATATAGCTTTAAATTCATGCTTTACATCTTTTATTCTATATTCCCACTAGGAAAAATGATTAACATGTACCTTTCGAGTAAATAATAGCGTCATTCTTCTATAAATAAGGCGCCAACTAGCGGCAAAAATTGAAGCTTTCTGCCTCAGGGATGCTTTGGCACACATGTTGACTTTCTGACAGCTACAAATAAGCCAACATACAAATTGTTGTTTTTTAAGTCGGCGACGACAAATCTAAAAATTTCAGTTTTTTAGGCAATTAAGACAACGGACGCCTAAAAAGCACACATTAAAATCGTAACAAACGTTATACTTTTGCTTATATTACTACAACTTTAACAAAAGCAACCCAACAAAACGCAAATGCCGTTGCCCAGCGGTTCCTTCTCAGCCACCCAAGGTGGTCCAACATGTTTTGACAAAATGAAGACTGGCTTCACCATTGGCTTCTGCGTGGGTATGGCTAGCGGTGCACTATTTGGTGGTTTTTCGGCGCTTAGGTGAGATAGAGGAATAAAATTTCCTGCAGCTTACGTCGCGTGACGCAAGTGCTATCGCACATTATGTAATTGTTAAGGGAATGGAACTAACTTGAATGAAACAAACTTATTTTTTAGATATGGTTTACGTGGACGTGAACTCATTAACAATGTGGGCAAGGTGATGATACAAGGCGGCGGCACTTTTGGCACCTTCATGGCTATCGGCACGGGCATACGCTGCTGATGTACGCATGCATTGCTCTCCCCTAAACTGGATTGCATTTTTATTATGATTAATACACTACACCTAGCCCCCCCCCTATTATTTCCTTGCACCCAATACAACTAAGGCTAAGTTTCTAAGTTACCTACGAATGTAAATTGCTTTACGAAATTACGCTATGTATAGGTATTTGCAATAGACACGTTGTTAAGCCAACTCTGAACTTTGTACTACTTACCTTCGACATTCACGCGCAGCCCGTCCAATGGATGAGTTTTGGCAAACTCAATCTTCTCGCCGAATGACAGATGATTTATGGTATGGGAGAGCTTCACATTTGTAAACTGGAAGTCGTGTATGTGGAACTGGCGTATGGAGAAGCTCTTGCCGGGTGCAAAGTGAAAGCTGCCAGCCATCTAAAGGAAAAGGTGAAGATATATTAGCTGAGATGTGGCTAACCTGTTGCTGTGTAGCTTACCCGATTCACCTCCAGATGTCCCTGTATACGGCAACCCTCCTTGAAAGCATCTTCGTCGGTGCGCTTGTATTTGCCTTTACATTGCTCGATCTTGTCCACTTGCATGTTCCATTTGCGTATGCGGTACGCATCCAAGACATCCTCGCAGGTATTGCAGCAGCTGTTAGAACGGTTATAAAACGTTTTTGAATGCATTATAAATCTTCTGCCAGAACAACTCACTGTGTTGCATTGTGCTCTGCACCGTAACAGCTGCCACAGGTGCTGTTCTTGTTCGGCGGCGAGACGGCCACAATTTCTTTGATGGGTGTCTCCTTCAATGGCTCCCCGTCCAAATCTAGGCGATGCTTGAAGACATCATGATCCACGCGCAAGTGAGTATCACCCGAAGAATCCATCGCATCCAGGGATATATAGTTGCAGGCCAAGTTATGAAGCGTGACGTCCAAGTTGATGCGCAGTTTGTGATTGCGCGTCGTGTCGACGAATAGCTCCTCAGTCAGCGTAGGCCGCATGTAGTTCAGGCACTCAAGAAATATAAGTAGGCTTATAATGCTGCTACTAATAATAGTAACTATACAAAGAAACGAAAACTGCTATAGACAATTTGTTTATTTACTTATCACAAAGCTTACCGGCGGCGCCGCCCACTGTGCGCACGCTAAAGTCATCAAGAGTGCGTGGATACGCATCTAGACGACGTAAAACATCAGCGAACTTCATATTTTATACACAAAACGAACTATAAGACAGGAAATTGCAATAAAAAGATAATTTACATGATTTGACTTAAGAGACGAGCGAATTGGCGAAGTGACGTGGTTGGTAAACAGCTGAACGCAACAAAAGAAAAACAAGTCTCCTGGTGGCCACCTAGTTGTAAAGGCTGCCACATCGCTGAAATGAGTATAGGTAATTTTATATATTACTAAGTGGCAAGGTTGGTTTTACTCTTGCGCGCCAAATTTTAAAAATTATTGATCTACCGATATTTTTTGACAAAAAGATTATTGATAACAAATGTCTTCTATAATTTGGAGCGCGATGGAAATTTGTGTTGTAATAAGAATATATGTACAGTTACTGTTTATACAGATATATATATTATAAATCAGTCGAAACAAAGGGTTTTATATAATTAGGTACACCTAACACATATATTCAAGTGGCTAGAGCCTTTTACCGGTTTAGTTAGCCATAAATAATAGTGATTAAAGGACTTTAAATGCATTTCGTTTATGGTATGTGGCGGCCCAAGTGTTTTTGTTCCGTCGTCTTCTGCGCTTAATTAACAAAACAGCTTGGCGACCCATGAAGCTACCCGCTCCATATGTCCGTGGCACGGGGACATATTGTTTAATAGTGTTGTCATGTCTTGAGGCTGTGGTTGCGCATACATTAGGCAGCCTCAGTGGGCCACGCCCACTTGAGCGTTGGTGTGGTCTACTAGACCGCGTCTAATTTTATAATACATGTTAAACAGATGAAAGGTTAATTGAAGGGAACCACAAGCATCGACAGGCCACGCAGCGCTTAGCTTTTAAGGGTTGCTGCTATTGTTGTTGCCCTAGCCACGACGATAAACAACAATGTGAGAGGGAGCGTAATCGGGCAGCCAAGGGATTTTGGTTAAAGTTAAAAGTTTGTGCTTAAATATAAATCAGCAAATAGCTTGCCGGCTGACTGAAGGTAAAGCCAAAGGCCCTATATGAGCCAGACGGAGGATGAGCGAGCGTGAGTCGATCCCAAGATGCGGATACGCGTATACCGCGAATTTATGTAATTAGCAATTAAGCTGATAGTCCGTTGAAGCAGCGTTGGGCCCGCGATTCCTTTGTCCCCAATTGAGATGACTGAAACTTAAAAGCTTTTTCCATTTACTTTGTCCAGTAATCCAAAATCAAGCACGCCACCAGATGACAAAGATTAGCTACGTGCAATTTTTCTTATTTTTGTCGAGCTGAAATTAAGGTAGAGTATCGAAAAAGTGAGTAGGAGTCTATGTCAACTCATTGGTCTATGGAACTGACGCTCTCACGATGCAGTCAAGCTTTAGTCATACGTATAGAATCATTGCTAAATATTAGCTAAGGAGTTATTTCGTTCCAATTGCTCTCTTTCCACTCACTTTCGCTTTTATCTCTCTCATTTGTTTCATCCAATTGTCTAGTCCAACCCCAATATCAGCTTGTAAACTATATATCACACTTGTCTCTGTGGGTCAGACGTAGAGTATTTGGTCTTTGTCATGCTGCCAGGCTCCCTGCTCCCGGCTCAAATAGCTGCTTATCTGCCGTGCTATCGCTAGCCGCACTAATTTGCATTTCTAACCATTTCGTTCTAACCAATTCGCGTCGTTTCTCATTTGAAACAATGAACCCAAGTACAACGAGAGTCATTGTGCTCCGGACAATAAAAGCCAAGAGACTCAGACAAAGAAAGAAAGAGAGAGCGAGAGCGAGAGCGAGAACTTGGCAACTGTAAAGCAGAAAAGAACTTGGCGTAAAGCAGCTTAAGCAATCAGGACCGCCTAATGGATATTGACACTTTAATGCCCAGGCCCACATAGACGGCGGCTCGTCTGACTCCTCCGACTTCTCCGACTCCTCCACAGCAACCCGTGTGCAGTTCTCCTCCTGAGATTTGCTTCTTCTGCTGCTGCTTCTCTCTTTTTTCTTTTCGCTCCGCTCGGTGTTTTATGCGGCATTTTGTTCTTTAAACAAAAATTGCAGTGCCGAAATTAATTATAGAGCCGCTTGGCCATATTTAATTAAATGTGGACATTTTAAACTTGCCTCCAGTCGCTCTCTCCCTCTCTCTCACTCTGGCAAAAAGGCGTAATTAATTAGTGGAGACGTGCCAAATAATTGCGGTAAAAGTAACTTTTCTTTTTGGCTGGATTTCTTTATTTATTTTTTTTTTATTTTCGGTCAAGGAATGTTTCAATTACGTGTATTACACGGCAAATGGTAGAATGGGGTAAGTGAAAAATTGTCAGGGGCGGGGGTTGGGGGAAGGAGGGGCTGGAGACCTGCCAAAGTTTCAGCCAATTCGCTCAGGTGGAAATTAATGAAATTAGCAGGCGTCACTTGAGCGCGCAATTAAGCAAAGTGTCAGGCTGAGTACTTAAAATATTTAGTCCAAAAATGGCAAACGCACCGAATATTCGCCCACTCTCACCCTCTTGCTCGTGCATTTTTGCATACGTCTATGGATGTGAATGGATGGGAAGGCCACTCACTTCCGCACTAAAAGCCCGAAAACGTCATTTCCGACAAATTAGCCCAGTCGACCGACAACGTAATATCGCACTGAACTCCACTGCACTCCACTGGACTGGACTGCGCTGTCCAATTTGTATTTTGTATCTGTATTTTGTATTTTAACTGCCAGCAGCGACTAACAACCGACACGGCCGCATTTTGAGCATATTTCCTGTGTTAGACGAAAAACGCGCCCGTTAGCTATTGCCTGTCTATTGGCCAAAAACGTTGGGCCACCCACAAAAATTTCAACGACGCTTACGTAAATCGAAAGGTGAATTCAATTTATGCCTCCTGCAGCTGCGTTTCCTAACAATTCCAGCACCAACAACAACAGCAGCAGCAGCAAAAAATATATTGCATTTGCAGGCAACTATTGTCACGAAGCGAAGCGCTCGAAATTCAAAAATCAAACAATATATTGTTAGCCAAACGAGTGGTTGAATAAACTGAAAAACAAATTTGAAAATTGATTTGCTTTAAAAGTGAAATATGCTGAATAAACAGCAAGACTTAAACTGCTTGAACATTGCCTCTCTCATAGATCTCTCTCAACTATTAAAGTATTTTTGATAGTGTTCAATTTTGATTAGAGATCCATATGCACATAAGATCGGCGTTACTATAGTGCGACTTTAAATGTGAACAAAATTCGCTTTTGAAAGGATTACAGTATTTCATTGATTGAATCCAAGTCTTAACTAAAATAAAGAAATTTAGAATCTAACCCAAAAGTAAGTAAAATATAAGGTTCATGGAACATTTGAGTTCCAATAACATCAAGACAACATGTTTCTTTACTTTCTCTGTTATATAGCTACAACTTCATAAATATTTAATCTAACCAGAATCAATTTCAATCAATTTCCAACCTCAGTTGCTTAGAAACTTTGCTGCGTCTTAAGTCAAAATTCTATAACAATTTTTATAAACTCTTTTGAATTGAGTACGCTGGAAATTCAGTTTTTTTATTTTTATTAATTTACAAAAATGTTATTTTCACATATAAATGATATCTACCACGATCAAGTTTTAGGCCCACTTCATGTTTGTGAGCCAAGAACATTCATTATTATTGGACCCGCGACTTGCGTTTCGTGCCCCAGTCCCTTATCCTAGGTAAACGATCGTTCGTCCCTCTGGCTGTTTCCATGCTATCTTCTCTGGCAATCTGAACTTAAATTGAAGTTTTTCCCACCTTTCCGATTGACATGTCGCGAGGTGTTGCCCATCGGATGCAGCGCGTAAAGTTCCTATTAATTGCATCACATTTCTTGTCGCATTATTAATTGTCAGCGCGCATTAATTGCATTTGTAATGCGTCATAATTACTGCAAATTATCTACTCACGCCAAGAGGAACAAGCTTAGACCCGATTGTGTGTGTTACTTTACAGATCAGAGTTATGAGTGTAGCATTAAATTCGTAAGAGCTGCCAGCTCTAATGGGCCTTATGTATCTTGAGGTGTTTAATAAGAGTAACTAACATTTCCATTTATTTTCCTTTAAAAGCTTAAGCTTGGATGTTCCATCTAAGAGTTTTGTCAAGAATTCATGTGTTTTCAAAGTTATATTTTCATTATATCTCAGCATAGTTTTAGAAAACCAAAACCCCGTATAATATAAAATAAATCTTGAAATGGAATGGGGCTAAACCGCGTGGTAACTGCTTTTCCAGTGTAAAATGTTTGAGTCATTTTTATATATTTTTCACATTGTTGTTTTTATACAAAAAAGTGCATAAATTAAGCTATTGATTGAATATTTTATGCATTTAATTAAAACTCATTTAAAGTGTTTACAGCGTGACTCAGATGAAGCTTGAGTGAAATCTCTTTCATTTTATCATTATGACTCATTTTAACAGCTAAAAAAATAAAGCTGCTTTAACTGACTTAAAATCTAGATTTTGTGAATTGTATAGGTTCATGTTAAAATTATTTAAAGCAAAAGCTTATTAGACTTTCTGATTAAAGCTCTCTTTCTCTCTCTCTCTCTCGCTCGGTCTCTCCTCTCTCTCCTTCTTTCTGTTAATAACACTTAATCAAATCACTTTCAGTGCCGCCCTTAAGCCAAAAGCTGACTTGCTTAACTAAAAGCTCATTCATTTGCCAGAAGCTATTTAAGCTTAGCTCAATCGACTAGTAGCACAGCCAATTTAAATATATTTTCAAGTTCTCTGCGCACTTTTATTGCACTTTGTCGGCTGCGCTGCATTGTGGAGGGGAATGGCCAGCCCGAAAGCTGGCAAATGCTGCTGTGAGTGAGAGAAATCAAACTTTTGGCCCTTTTTCTGTTTGGGCGTTTTGTTCAAAGGGGCTTCAAGGGTTATCGGGGTCAGGCGTGGGCGGCCAACTGGAGTGATGGTCACGTCAACCAAAATGCATTTTATACATTCTGATTCTTTTTGTTGTGCGTCCTTTGCTGCTGCCGCTGCTGCTGCGGCAACACGAAAAATTA